AAATCCCCATGTCCAACTGCTGCTAAATACAGATTGATAGTTTTTTTTTGTTTTTAAAGCAACACAGACACTCTTCGTCAGGCTTTTTGTCCGCATTCAAGCACCGAGACAAAAGTCACAATTTGTGCACAGACCTGTCTGATCTAAATCATTAGATCATTCACGTATATTGAGTTGAACCTCTCTCTCTTTGCCCTTCAATTTCACAGTCTGTTCTGCGTTAATATTACTGATTATTTTCACTTGTCACTAAATAATGCATTTACAGTGTATGTAGTGGGGAATGATTCCTTAGTAACAGTGAACGGTGTACTGTTTGTGAACGCAGCCCTGGCTCTTCGCCCAACCAATTCCCTAATCAGGTCAGTATATAAAATGCACCTGTTGGCATAGCCTCATTCTTTGTGGCCCCTGCTAGCGTTACGGGTATGTATTTAATATGATCAATAAGCATGCCAACCTTTTTTGAAATACACCCTAAGTTCACAGCTTCCTTTTTGAAATCTGGTCTGCCACGACGAGTGATTCCATATCTTAATACTCTGTAAGAAGTGGTTCACCTGCTGCTGTTTTGCCTCCGTTTTTGCCCCCGTTATGTTTTGTCGTTGTTCTGTTGCGCCCTGATGTTTTGTTTGCTTTACATTGTTAAACCAACTGGGTTCGTTCGTTTTTGTGTTTATTCTTTTTGGTAGTTCCCTTTTTCTTTAGGTAAAATAGATAATAGTTTCTGTTGGACAGGATATTTTAGGATATTAAAGATTATAGTTAAACGTTTTTGGTAAAGCTTTAGATTATTGTAGTATTGGTTTCAATCATTTTCATTTGTCATTCATTTTCTTCCCTCCACAGCAGCTGCCGTACCTGCAAATTTGGTTATTTTTGATTCTTTAAATAAAACCTTTGGTTAATTTTACAGAACACGTCTCTGTCTCTATCATTAACGAATCTGTGCCTTATCAGTTTTCAAAACAGTATTTTAATTAAGGTTCTTAAATCCGTATTCCCTGGAGCGTAATTTCCCAGGTGGCTTTGTGGTTCCCTCTCTTTTCCCCTTAAGGCTTCCCCACCACAGTAACATTGAATACCTGTAGCCATCACAAAGCAGCAGGAATGACACGAGCGTCTCCAAGTAAGAATTGGCATTTTTACGCACGTGGTGCACGGTATCTTCATTATTTGTGATTAGTCTGATCCCGTCACGATGACGGTATCGATCAGAACCTAAATGTGAATGGAATTCTGTACTTTCCCTGCAGCATCAAACAGATACACTGACAGGTTCCAAATGTATCCAGTCAAATGCTTTGAAATAAATCGACCGTCCGTATGATGACCTCGATCTGCTTCATCAAACCTGTTGGTAAAAGTAGCTACAAACTCTGCGTATCACACCTTGCCAACTTTTTCCACTAATCCCTGAAGGAAACATGTTGACTGTGTGGCTATGAGTTTGGGACATTACTAATATGAGAAGCGTTTTCCTCAGTCCATGGGCGATCACATCACACACGACAGGCATCGGTTGTTCCAGTTAGCCGAGCTGCAACCAATAAACTGCGCCGTTTAGCTGTGGCTCAGCGTGAGAGCGCGTGCCACAGCCTACGGCCGTTTCCCTCTCTTCTGTAAGGCAGTGACCTAGCCTACATCTATTTTTGACGGTGACTGTTTTTTTTTCCCGGTGCCTCAGCTATCCGGAGGATATTAATATAATAATTTCCCTCCGAGGCTTCAGCTGCAAAAAAAACACCTGGTTCAAAGCCTGCATAACCAGATTATGCCAAACCGTTCCCCCGCAAGGCATCAAATAACGCAGCTTGGTCAGTGCTCCTCTGCGTCTGACTCCAGCAGCCTTCAGTCCAGAGTAACTGACGTAGTTTAGTTTAAAAGGCAAGGTGATCGCACCGGGCAAGCGGGAGGAGGGGTGTAAGGGATAATCACGATTGAACTTTTGCACAGGGACCGCTGTTTGTTTCAAGTGCGTAATTTATAGTATACGTTGGCGTTTTGTCTCGTCAATTGGGCGATAGTCAAGTTAACGTCAACCACGCTCTTTTCCTAAAACTAACTTGGTGATTTTGTTGTGTGAACGTTTTTCTGTAAAGACGGGAGTTTATTTTGATAAACTCTATATGCAACCTGCGTATATTGATGAAGCCACTGACAAAGCTGCATCAATGGAAGCATTGGTGTGAGCATGTGTTCATTATGCACTCAGAACCGTGTATAGTCTTATTGATTTAGTTTTGGCTGAGAGTCTCTAATCTCCCATTCCTCTGTCACACAAGGAAGTGAGGCAGCATAATGTGGTTTCTGTGCCAATTTCGCTTATTCAGTTACAGTGGGAAGAATTTTAAGAGTTTACCGTTCACACAGCTTTCTCTCCTCTACAAGTCAGTGGACACTAAACTTGAGTGTTTTGAAAAAGGCTCTTCCTCCCAGAGAGAATGGCTGCCAACTGGAGAGGGTATTTTAAGGCAGAGCCACACCAGCACAGGTGTGGCTCATCCAGCAGACGAGCCTCCGATCAGCACCTGTAACAAATGAAACACACAGGGCACCTAGTGTATGATAGGAGGAGGAGGGTCGTCACACTCTGCACACACACTTCTATTTACATCTAAATTATAGATACAGTAGATCAAATATAAATGCATAACCTAAACTGAGTTGTCAATTTTCAGTATATTTCAAGTGCTCCTTGCAGTATGTTTACACTAAAGTTGCAGCATGGCAGACAAAATGACATGCTGGTGTAAGCATTTCCATAAACCATACATACTGAATATGTTCCATCTCACAAAGCATTTAGGTCAGGGACATGCAGTCTTAGACAACTGATGCAACTGAGCAATCAGTTTGCAGTGCTGTTTACCAACACCTGCTGTATCTTCTTAAAGAACTTCCTTTCTTTTTCTGACACCCTATACTTTCATGTTAGTCTCTGAGAATGAGATGAGAAGAATACATAGTTTACAGCTTATGTCTTTAAATATATAGTAGAAATCTAAAGTAGGAATTTGATAATTGTAACAATGTAGTAATCTTATAGTTTTACTTGTAATATGTGGTCATGCTTTCATAATGAAGCTAATCAGTGTCACTGTCAAACTTGTTTTTTTGCTCCATAGTTTGACATGGAATTATCCTACAGAGGGAACTAAAAGGCTTCCTTTCCATGAAGATTTTAGATGGTCAAAAAGCCACTTACATACATGTAACAATAATGGTATTTGTAGAAACTATAATTGTAATTAATGCAAGGATAGTTTTCAATATAGGTCAACTATATTTACGCTCTTTGTTTGGCAAAATGCTCAGAACATTATCTGTCTTTCTTGATACACTGGGCCTGAAAATGTGATAACTTCTGAATACCCTCATTGTATGATAGGACATTTCCATTTTTGTCATCAGTGCAATGTCTAATACAATCAGCAGTTATCAGACGTTGTGGGGACTAGCTGCACTGCCGTCATACAGGGCTGCCCAGAGCGGCCTTCAGGCTTGATTTGTCCAGTCAGATGTTTATCACCAAAAATAAAAGGATAATATAAATAGCTGTTTATGCTGTATTCTTTTTTTGTGAGTTCAATTATGTAGGATCCGTAAATATGATTTAGTTTTCATGGTCTGAGCCCAGCAGGCAGAATGACATTTTGCGCAAGAAATCAGTTCGGTGTGAGTGAGGAAAATGAAGGGACGCACAGACAGAGAGGCACACAGGGGGTTTAAGCTTTGGCAACCCTTTATCAAACATCACTTTTAAGATAATGTAGCTTTAGACACAACAGCTAAGAAGCTGAGGAATTGTATCTTTATTTAATGTTTTTATAAAATACAGACAATTTATCAAAAGTATTCTTAGTGTTTTTGTATTACTGTATTAGATATGAAGGAGTTTATAGGTCAGAGGCAAAATCAGTAATACAGCACAGAACAATGGCATTTTGGCAGGAAATTTGGAATAATGACAATAAGTTTCGAAATAACAACATTCAGACGTCAGTCAGAGCGAGAAGTGATGGAAGTAAATGTAGAAAAGAAAATGTTACTTTTTGTATATTAAGGTTAGAACATACAGGACTTAATGACATTTTATACACCATGAAAAAGACAGTGTCGGATAAATGTGAGATATGCAACTGTAAAGAAACTGTTGAACGTGTGCTGATAGAGTGTAGGAAGCTCAGCGTAGAAGGAGAAAGACTGAAGGGCAGAGTGATAGCTTTAGGAAGGGAGTGGAGCATCACAGGACTGTTAGAGACAGGGGACAAACAAGTTCAGATTAAAAGGGCTTTATTTACATTTTTTGAATGGAATGGGTTTACCATCCAGAATATAACTTATTTATGAAGTATGTTTCACAATAATAATAATAAAACCAATAAACTGAAAAGAAGAAGAAAAATGAGTTTATTTTGAAAATACTAACCGGAAATCGACTTCTTTTTTTTAAACAATGGATGACTTGATGCTTTGAGCCGTATGGTGCTGCTGATAGCAAAACAACACTGGTTGAACTATTGGTAGAACTGTGCATCTATACCGCAAGCGTCGACCATAAAACATATTTTACAGCTGCCGAGTCCTTAATGATAAATATGGTCAACAACGGGGTAAGCTTCTGACCAGACCGAGCTAACGTTAGCATCCAGAAGATGATTGTTTTGTTTTTTTAAAGCTAGTTAGCTAACGTTAGCTGTCAGCTGACATTCGTGCATTGACGTTGATGTGCCCTTTTTATATTGGTAACATATCAGTGATTATTCATATTGAATACCCCAAATGTTTACCATTAATACTTGAACAAAAAGGTTAACGTTACCGCTTTATTGGGGCGTCTGACTGACAACAACAGCCCTGATTGGTTACAGTCGGTGAGGTGAGCCTTCAATCTGTGTTAATAACGTTTCTCAGGCTTTGCAGTGTTTACATGTTTGACTCCATGAAAGTTAACCGAGCTCGGTAATAAAATGTATGATAAAAATATATAAAGAGTGAATTAAATGTCTGTTTTTGGATCGTTATTTAGAAACTACTTCAAGCGAACCAGCTTTACAGCCTGCTATCCTTTTGGGAACCAGGAGCAGGAGGAAATAATCAGAAAAAGGTTGCATGTGAGGTATTCACTTGGATCTTGCGGTTTCTTCTCATCACTTCAGATCTATTGCAGGCCACTTGCCATTCATAGCTTTTTAAGATGCCTCCATTCTTTGTTGGTTATTGAAAGCAGACCACTTTCCAAACCTCTTGACATAGCAGTTCAATATGTTTTCCAATTATAGCATAAATAAGTCTATTGACAAGTCAAAGGCAGAAATACCTGAAACGGTTGTAAATTGTCTTCCGTGGCTGAAGTGTGGCGTTGTATAGTTTGAGGTAACCCCGATGAAGACATCAGAGACATAGAAGACGACGACGTTTTAAGAGAAAGTGAATTATAACCAGATTAAAAGATGTGTTTACTGGTTAGCAGTGGCACAACTGGGATCTGTATAGTATCACACGCTGTACAATAACAATGCAAACACATAAGGTATGTGGCTGCCATTTTTCTGCCTCCGTACTTCAATTCATAAGCACAAGCCAAGAGAAACGAACCAACCTCTCAGTGTGACTGTGATGTATTTTCTCTTTTTCAGATGTAGCTGATGAAATGGAGTATGATGAGAAACTTGCACTTTTCCGCCAAACCCGCCTCAATCCTTTTGATCGTGGAGAGGAAGAAGATGGTCCCCAAGGAGGCAAGACCCCCCCACTGCACGGTGAAGTTCTTTAAGTTTAGAATATGACCTCGCTTTAAGGTCACTTTCACACAAACAATATTGTTGTTTTTAAGCTTCAGATTTTTTTTATATGCACTCTACTTAATTCTTATGAACCAAGAGGTGTAAACGTGAAGTCATATGGGCCTCGTTTATTGGACAGTTTCTGTGACAGTCGTCCTGCATCATCAGTGCTACCTTATGGGTTTATTTATTTTATATAGTTGTCACAAAGACCTCATAAAGAAAAGCTGGTTAAGAGCTGGTATCAGACCTTATATGTCACATGCTACATCTCACTGTAGGGAAATGCCAAAATATACATCGAGGAGGACTAAAGCACAACACAACTCTGTGTTACCCGTTTCACTTTCCAATGGAAAATCCCACAACATATGTGCTGACATGTATAAGTGCAGGCGATAAAATAGTTTGGATGAGAAGTGAATGTCTCTATCCATCAGAATATCGAATATCGAAACTGGTTTAATCTGTTTCAGTATTCTGGTTTGGTAGACTGAGGCCAGTTAGTTGGGGATCTTTTTGAGCCATTGTTGTGAAAAAAAGCATCAAATGTTCCTGGCCTGTGGCCTGCCATGAGGATATGGGTGCTGCAGTTGGAGGTGTTTTCTGGTATCATGATTTCTGCTTTTCTAAATGTCACTTGCAGAGATAGGTTTGTTTCCCCTACATCGCCAAATACACTTGGATCACTGTATGGGGCAGTGACTCCCTCGTGAAACTGATTTTAGCTAATCATTTCTCAGATATTTACACACGTTAAACAGTTTACATCTAGTTCAGAATGAATCTTAACACATAAAGAAAAAGCACCCTGAACTGTTGTGAGTAACTCTGAGCTTATGGAAAAGGAAGTTGGAAATACGATAACTGAAACAGAGGAAACGAAAAGCAAGTGTAAGCAATACTTTAGTAACACTTCCTGTATTCTGGAGTTTGGGAATAAAAGGCATTTTTGTCTGCTTACAATCATTTTGACAGGCAAGCCTGACACACTGAGCTTTATTGACTTTACTCCCATCTGTCACTGAGAGGCTGAATTCACCCAACATGTTTTGTTCTGAGGTGTATGCAGGTAACAGCAATTTGTCTGCACCTTTTCAGTAAGATGGATTGTTTGTAAGAATATGTGATTAGCGTAGTTTACTGTGTATCATTTGAAAGATTGTAAATCAAAGGCCTTTTCAAATTTCTTTCATGTAATGTTTAGATTCCTCAGTCAAAATGTGAGTCATCCTACTTAATGATTTCATTATACACTGTTGATATCTTGTAGGTATGATCAGAGTGTGTTTTAAGTGTTAACTGTGCATCGATTTTATTTGATATACAGACTTGGGTTGACTTTATATTGCGTAACTTTGCTGTCTCCTTTTTCCCTTTTTAATATTTTTATGTAGATAAACAAAATCACATTTCAAATTAAGAAAGGATGGAGGTGGATCAAACTTGGTGTTGCTAGTTTATAGCTTTGAATCTTTCCTCAGACTAACTCTAGGTGGTACACAGGAGGTGAACCTCTATTCAGCTTAATAGAAGTGTGGGGATGCAAAACTGCTGACAATCAAATGCAACACTACAAACGACAGCCTTGAAAATGACCGCACCGTATCAACGCATTTCATACATAGATTGAACAAAAGAAGAACACTGTATTGTTATCGTTTTAAGGTTATTTTGATTGCATTAAACTGCACAGGTGACGTTGTCCTCTTAGTACAATACACATAATTCAGTGTCCCCACTTATTGCCTGTTTTGTGTTATCTTGCTGTATATTCACGTATACATTGAGCCTCTAATCCCACATTCTTTTTAAATTGCACTTATGAGTATTTCTTTTACAATAGTTAATAAATCCATGTGGCCCAGTCTAGCAACAAAGTGAGGGACTAGCTGCTCATCATAGTGCAGCATTTAGCAGCTCCAGAGCCAGATGTCTTTCTCAAGATGTGATGGAGACGAAAACAGAGCAAAAATAATTATTACAGGACTTACATTTGTCGTGTGGATAGGAACCTGTCTCCAGATTTATGGTAATGTCGCTCTGTGTCTGCTGGAGGTGTAAATAGACATCAGTTTGACAACAAGTTCGTCATAACAACTTTATAAGGCGATAAGTCAGCTGTTGTGTTTCAGCTTGTTCTGCTGCCCAGTGTGGCCAAATCAATAAAGTCTAGTAATGCAGCTCTAAGCAGCTAATGTGGTCACATACATCAGAAAGCACAAGCTCAACCTCTATGTAGTAACACTTTCTGCTTCTCCCTGCGAGTAATATGTTCATTACTTAATGGTATTATGGAAGCATAAACTCTTGCAGATATTTGTGAATAATTGCTCATAAGGACAAATAATCCTTTCATTTACTGTATTAAAGTGACCGACGCACATCACACACAGGCAGTCATGCTGCTGATAGCAGCATCGGCAGTAGAAGAATGTGATTCAATTGATTTGAAAGCATACAATACAAAAGGTCATGTTACAGACTGATTGTAAACAGCTTTGATGCAAAAGTGATCAGCACGTCAAAGGTTCATTCCTCTGGCTGATCTGCACTTTTAACGACACAGTAGGAGTCTGTCTTGTCAGCTGGCTTGGTTACACATTATCAGAACCGATACGATGACTACACGGCATTCCTTCAGTCGTCCCTTTAGAGCTACTTCGTCTCGTCTCCTTGAGCGGTGAGTCAGAGCGTAGGGATTGTTGTGAGTGGCCACAGTCATGTGGGAAATTAGCACGCATGACTGAGTGCACTTACCACACCAAAGTGTGCATGCTTACAAGAAGAACAGTGCTTTATGCCATGTCACCTTCTCTTTAGAAGCAAGGCCTGAGCTGTTCCCTGGGACCAGAACTCACAGTTCAGACCGAACCATGGACCTGGGTCTAGCTGAGGACCACTTCTCAAGGCCTATGGTAAGTAAAGCGTTGTTCCCGCTGTCCGCCTCAAATCCAAATGACTTTCATATTGTTAAACATAGAGTGCTTACATTCAGAACAACCTATTGTATTTCATGTCCATGCTTTTGCTCTTATTCTCCTGTTTCAGGGTTCGATTGTGGCTCCTGACATTGAACAGCTGAAAATGGCCATAGAGGAGTGTAAAAAGCTGATTTTGGAGCTGCCAGAGCACTCCGAGAGACAAAAGGACACTGTGGTGAAACTCATCCACCTTCGTCTCAAACTACAGGAGCTTAAGGTTGGAACTAAGGAGTGAAGAGAGAAGTGGATAACATGATAATGTAGTTGTTGAAGCTGGGGGACAATCAGTAAAACTTCAAGACATTCATAATTGACCAATCTCACTTGACCTGTTTTCGATTTTGAGGAATGCACAGCTGTAGACGTGTTTGCAGATGGAAAGGAATTATGAAAAGCGGGGATTTTTTTTCTGTATTTTTGGCGAAGCATTTCCTGAAACTAATGCTGCATTCAAGTGCATTTGGAAAATATGGAATTTTGGGATTGAAGAATAATCTAATAATCTCTGGGTGCAATAGTTTTGGGGGGAAATTATAATCATATTGCTGTTGGCCTGTAGCTGAGAGGGGATGCTTGTCAGAGAGGTTCCTCACTATCCCTTTATAGCCAGTACCCCGTGTGTGATAAATGAGAGCAAGCATTGCAGACATGCTTGGAGACTGATAGGATGGTAAACAAGTTTGTGTAAATCTGCAACTTCCTGCAAAAACTCCTCATGTTTCAAATGGATATGCATGAGGTGCATATTTTTATTAATTTCATTGAGTTTGTACCTCAACACGTTTAGGCAAAACACAAAATATAATTTAGTCTGGGAAGAGGTGTGAACGTCTGGAATATTTAGCTGTTAAAATGATCTTATATAACCGCACATGAACTGTGTTACTGCTATGTTAGTGATCTTTGAATTGTGGTTTGTGCCTTTTAATAAAAGGACCCCGAGGAGGATGAGCCTAATCTGAGAATCCTACTGGAGCACCGCTTTACCAAGGAAAAGAGCAAGAGTGTGAAACAGACCTGTGACAAGTGTAGTGCTATCATCTGGGGCCTGATCCAGACTTGGTATACCTGCACAGGTGAGACACGCTATACAATGCATGAGTGATATAGCATCAGTGATATAGCACTGTGGAGATATTTTACACCCCAAATTGTAAAACATCCCATTGTGCATTGAATAGGAAGTTTTAAGAGCGCAGATTTTTCAAAACTCAGGCCTCTATGCAAGATCTCTATCTGAATATCCTTTTTTGTTCTTTCAAAGCTCCATGTGCATACTGACTGTCCTGATAATCAGAATTCTTGAAGAACAAGATTTTTGATTTTCATTTTATATTGTTAAGTTTCCATTTCATTTTCTCAGGATATGTTCCCTGAATGAGAGGATCTTTGTACAGCTCTTTTAATTCGTCAACCGGCCCTTCATATCAAACCCATTGTGTGTCGTGGTAATGCCATTGCGTTCCATGTGATCATCCCTCTCTTCTTTCAGGTTGCTATTATCGTTGCCATAGTAAGTGTATGATCTTGATCACCAAGCCCTGTGTCAAGTCAAAAGTCAGCCACCAGTCGGCGTACGAGCTCAGCATCTGCCCTGAGATAGGACTAGACCGACAAGACTACCGCTGTGCAGAATGTCGCACACCTATTTCACTAAGTGAGTACAAATTGAGTGTGTTGATTTACGTTTGGCAAGTTGAAATACGGGAACAGAGGATCTAAAAGCAGCATGTAGGCTAATTGAACTTCAGTTTGCTTGATAGGCGTGTGCACACAGTTGTAAATAAGGTTACTTTACACTTTACAGCCATCGACAAATTGCTAAATAGAAATTACTGAGCGACAAAAACAGAACATCATTTTTAGAAAATCTTTATTCTCTTTGACATATTTAAATACTACATGTTTAATCACAAAGTTTTAAATGTATAAAAGTACATCCTGCTTTCTGTGTGTCGTAGTTTGATTGTATTCGGTGCCGTATTAATCTTGTAGGGGGCGTGCCGACTGAAGCCAGACAGTGTGACTACACAGGCCAGTATTACTGCAGCACATGCCACTGGAATGACACCGCCATCGTCCCAGCCCGTGTCATCCACAACTGGGAGTTTGAATCACGCAAGGTAACCCCTCAACATCCACAGCAAAATACACCACAAACTGTCTCACTGTGACTTCTGCAGCCATAGAGGAGCTTTTTCAAGTCCAAGAGAGTTGCTAAAGGGGAGTCGGGGTAGTCCGTGTTCTGACAGTTTCTCTGTTTCAGGTTTGTCGCTCCTCAATGCGCTACCTGACCCTGATGATCTCACGACCTGTGCTGAAGCTAAAAGAAATCAACCCGCTGCTATTCAACTTTGTGGAGGAACTGGTCGAGATCAGGGTGGGTAGCACTAGTTAACACCACTGTGTACATAAAACGAAATCCACAGCTCTAATTATCAGCTGTGTTGTCAGTTTTAGCCCAGAATCACTTCTAAAATACTTTAACCATGACACCTTCAGTATAGTTACTGTTACATCAACAACCCAATGTCACCGTTTTGCATTAGGTGCTATTATGCCGAAGCGGCTAGCACAGGCAATGAGATGGTAAATTATCTGCATCTCTGTGCAGTAAGTGAGACAGACAGCAGTGTGTGTGTGTGTGTGTGTGTGTGTGTGTGTGTGTGTGTGTGTGTGTGTGTGTGTGTGTGTGGGTGTGTGGGTGGGTGGGTGTGTGGGTGTGTGGCTTTTTCTTTACAGAAACTCCGTCAGGATATTCTGTTGATGAAACCCTATTTTATTACCTGTAAGGAGGCCATGGAGGCTCGGCTATTACTACAGGTGAGCATCTTTTTACTAACTTGACTTTGCATGGTGGAGTTAACCTCATATTTAGTGGCATTAAATGTGACCAATAAGTAATATGTTACAACAGCACCACCATGTGGTACAAGTTGAGAGTTTGAGCTGTATCGGGAAAGGTTCCTGTTGTAAAATGTTGACAATATATGTGATACTAGTCTCTACAAACACTGTAAACTTTACTTGACTGTTCTTGGTACAAGTTCAGTATCAGCTAAAGTACTTTTTAGAATTTGTGTTGGGATTTTAAAGCTGTATGAAAGGCTGGATGATGTGTATTGGCTCAACACGGGACTCGTATCAGAGAGCACCTAAGTCACCAGGTGGAGTTCAACTTCTTCACCTTGTAAGACAGCAACTTTAATTACAAGCCGTCATCAGCTGCACATATTGACGGTAGTTTCTGAAATAAACATAAATAAATGCTACATGAATATCAAAGCTCTTAGATGTAGTATCTCTCATCAAGGAGAAAGTTGTTAATCACTCATTTTTAATTGCTGAAATAAAATGTACAATCCTCAAACTGTGCAAGTTAACAGAAGCATCCTCTCCAGTTCAATGACAAACAAAACATAATGCACATACGCTACAAACATGCATTGGCGGGTACAATACTGATGAATTAGCAGCTTCACTCTTAAGTTGAAAAATAATAATAATAGATAAAACAGGTAACATTAACATGCAGTACACAGTCAACAGAACCTGAAAACAACTGAAGAAGGTCTTCATCTGCTTTGAAAACAGTCTCACTAGCGAACATTCATTTGCCAAATTGTTAAAAAGGCCTTCCAACAGACCAACATTTTTATTTTTTATATTTGTGTTCCCCAGCTTCAAGAGCGACAGCACTTTGTGGAGAACGACGACATGTACTCACTACAGGATTTGATTGACATCTCCAGTGGCAGACTCAGCTGTTCCCTCACTGAGATCCACACCACCTTTGCTAAGCACATCAAACTAGACTGTGAGGTGAGCTCTTACATACAGCACAAAGAACAATACTATTGACTTCTCTTTGTTAGTATGCTTGTTTCCTGTGCATGTACCACACATAACATAATCTTGTGTGTGTGTGTGTGTAGCGTTGTCAGGCCAAAGGATTTGTGTGTGAGCTGTGTAAGGAAGGAGACATACTGTTCCCTTTTGACAGTCATACCTCAGTCTGCTACGACTGCTCTGCTGTCTTCCACAGGTTAGTCGCCACCAACTTTTCAGACTGAAAAATACGGCAAACAATGTGATTGTAGCACTACTTTTGAGTGGAGCTACTAATCCCAAAGACATCCAGTTATTTGGTGTAGTCTAGTCTAAGATCACCAGTTAACACACCTTCAAACTGCATACAAAGAGATAAGAAAGACACGTTTGTCCCACTCAGCATACTGTAGATAGCAAAATGGTACAATTACAAACAATGAGCTGTCCCTTTAAAATGAAAAACAACACATTACTCAAATGGACACCATTAATATAACCTGTTTTTGTGTCTCTTTAGAGATTGTTACTATGATAACTCTACGACTTGTCCGCGATGTGCACGAATGACTGAACGCAAGCAGGACGAGGAGCCAGTCGTGAGAGTTGCATAAGTCTGGAGAGGACCACATGAAGCGACTGGAAAGTTGAACTTTGACTCATGTTGTGCTCTCCTCGAACAAGGAAGTCTAACGAAAGACTAGCTTTTAGTTTTTGTCCTTGGTTGTGTTTTGTGCATATGTTTCTATACTGTAGTGTCTGTAGCTTCATGTGTGCCATACAATGAAGCAGGGTACTTATCAACCCATCTGGAAATTAATATATAAATTATATAATTTTTTTACCCAACTTTTTAATTCATCCTGAAATTGGATGTGTTGCACACTGTGTACGTGTGTTTGTGTGAGTGAGCCGCATTAGTGTGTGTGTCTGCTTGTTTAAACGACAAAATGAAAGCCCTATAGAGAAAAGTCACCTCATCAGACGGCGATTATGCATGCTGGAGTTGTCGTATATTAAACCTTGACTGCATTAACCTACACTGCCAATTTGACTTAACTTTAAGGTTGCCATATAGAAAGAATAGTTTTGAATTTCAATGACTCCAGATTCCAAAGACTAAAATTGCCTTTCAGCTTCCAGTTTTTATTTTAATAACAATATCTTGTGAACATGCTTTTGAAAGTTGTGCACTGAGCCGTCATTTCCAAGCATCAGTTTAAGAGGGTATTTCGTTTAGTATCGCACATTAAGAAATGCGTTAACTAGTTTACAATAAGGAATCAAATACATATGTTAGACTTTGATGTTTACTCATAATCCATCATCAATCCCAACACTGTTGCTCTTACAAGTACTGCTCCTGAAGCAGTCCACACTCGTTAGACACTATTTTAATGTCGGTCATAATTCAGCTCATATGTTTGGTCTTGAGAAAATATTTCCATATTTTACAGCAATATTTCTTTTCGGCATAAACCTACGTTGAGTTTGTTTGCTGTCAATTCGTCAACCTGGATAATGGAAGAAAAATGATATTGCTTGCAAGTTTTTTGACAAGAAAGATGGTATCTATACAATCATTAAAACCATTATTTGAAATATAAATACATAGTATTGGCAACAGAAATATAAGCAAAGCATGCATCACCGGTACATATTCTTGTAAGGAGAATTGTTTAACTGAAAAAGAATATTGAAGTTAAATGTGCTTTCCTTTAATTCAAAACTGTGAACTCATTTTAGACAGTTTGATCTGTGTTTGATCTGGTTCAGTTTAGTGCAGTGTGGAGCAAATAGATGTGAATACTCATGAACATTGCGTGCCTAAGATAGTCAGGTTACATACAGCTGTTATCCAAACGTCTTAATCCACTTGGCATCATGTTAATGGTTTCAGTCTTAATGTAAAGCACATGTTGTCCAGAAATGACAAAGGTGTTAAGTGACACCTTTGGTAATGTGTAAATGTTGACTTGAAGTATTTCTTTTAAGCTAATGAATTTTGTCTGTTATCGTTCAGCATGATGTACTGTATTTTGTTTTTCAAACTGAGGTACATGCATGGTGTTGGCAAAAGCCATGCCCTGTTGTAAAATGTGGAGTAGTGCATGAATACAGTTATTAAATATATTAAAACTGCAGTGGTTGTTCATGGATGAGTTATGACATAATTGGTCCCATTTGCACAGATGTGTAGAAATCTACAAACTAGCAGCTTCAAAATGATAATAACAATAAATGTTTGGTCATGCACATACACTGTCACTGCTACGTCCCTTGTCTTGACTGAGCCAAAAAAGTGTCATAAAAATGTCATAATTATGAATGTCATAAAAAGTCAAAGTGTAGTATCGCTAAGGCACATGCTTCATGTATATCAAGAAGTAGGTAATCGCTCAACTGTTTTAATCCCGACTGGAACAAGGCGAGAATAATCACACACACACACACACGCGTCTGAATGTGTGTTATGAATATGTTATGACAGATTTATGATGTTTTATAACATACCACATTATGTTTTCATGACGTATTATACTATGACATTTTAATTCTTTTTTTATAACAAATTATGCTGAGATACTGTTACCATTTGTGATGTCATAACATGTTATGACATTTTTATAATTTTTAATATAAAAGGCCATATTCCTTCTCCCAATAATCTTTACATTTTGCCTTGCATCATTCAAGTACATTTCACCACTGAGTCGTTTGTTTATTCACCACAAACATCCAAAGATGTAAGCACATCTTCTTTCATAACACCCACCAACTGGTGGAGGGAATGAGGGTGACCGCTGTTATGGTGTGGCACTTGTGCAACTTCAAATTTGTATTGTGTTAATGGGGTGCAATAATCCCTTTTTGAAAACGTGTGTAGTCTGTAATCTGTAATATGAAAAACTGGATGACGACATAAATCAGTATACTGATTTAAAAAAAAAAAAATCTTTAGTCAAACAGAGCCTTTGTACAGATTGGCCTAGATTAGATTAGAAAACAAAAGTAGAGTACAGCAATAAAGCAGTGTTTGCCTACTTTGGCTCCACTACAAAATCATTTGGTTGCCTACATGAAGAGTGGTGGTCGAGGACTTGGATTTCCGCCAATAATTATGCAAAGGACAGTATGTCCTATTGAAACTACATTCAAATCCAATCATGATAGAATTCAAAATACAAGATTTATGTAATAGGTAAAAAAGCTATAGCACCATGATACATCATAAACAGGAATTATGGTCGCAGATTGATGCATCCATCTGTATGCATGAGTTTGCTGCATGATGAGTGCAGTATAAACCCAGTAAAGAAAAAGAAAAACAAACATAGGCCGCAGAGCTTTTGATTAAACTTAAAACAATATAAAATGTATGTCCCACATCTGACATGACCACATACTTCTATTTTCTCACCGAAATCTCGCGGGATCAGTGTGTACGGTACTTCTCGCTCGTCGATCAGTGTGTACGGTATTTCTCGCTCGTCGATCAGTGTGTACGGTACTTCTCGCTCGTCGATCACTCCAGTGAAGCCCAGAGAAGGTGCAGGTCGGACGATGGGGCTTCTCTCTGTGAGTGTCGGTCACTTTCGGAACCGAGTCCGGGCGGTTCGGACGTGGAGCCGAGAATTATCCACCATTTCAGCTTCTCTTTGCAACGGCGGCGCACTTGCGTTGGTACGGTGACATCGTCTTTTTTACTAAAGTCGTTACTCTCAGAATAGATGCGCGCAAATGAGTTGTTTTGCAACAGCTACTCACCATGTCTTGTATAACAGCGGGTTTCAGGAGACGGAGCCCTGTGCGACTTTAGTTGAGCTTTGTCGTGGGAAGGAACGCGGTGTTCTGCAGGCTGCAGACCCCCCCCCCCCCCCCCCCCCCCCCCCCCCCCAAAACCTGTAAACAAACAAACGGCTGCACTGTTTGTGCATCATTCCTCAGTTGTTTACTCTCACGATATGTCTGTTGTTTCTGTTCTTATTGTTTGTTGTAGAAGTCGATTTCTTCAGTTAGATAATGCTTTCTTTGTAGGGGGTGTGCCTCTGTGACTGGTGCGCGTTAAGCCAATGCATGTTCATCTTTTTCATTCATTCATTCTTTCAGTTGCATTGACTTTTTAGAAGCAATTTTAAGCAAATGTTTTAGAGATATGCAAGTTATTGAATATAAATAAAACTGCTTGTGTGCTTTACTTGGAATCTAATAGTAGTGACGTTTTGGAAAAGGGTGTTTTTTTAATGGTCTTTGCTTCAACAAAAGATGTAATTGAGGTTCTCTGGCTGGTATCTTACATTTTGCTGACTTTCTTCAGTAGACTTTCTGCTTCTCTATTGAAATAGAAGGTAATGAGCTGCACTTCAACTCTGAACAGTGTCTTTCAAACTGTGTTTTATGAATGTACATTTATTTTAGAGACAGCATATTGTTAATGTCACATAAGTAATATTTTCCACTGGTTTCAATGAAACAAACATATGTGATACATTGAGTTTTCCTTAATTGTCTCTCTCTCTGATGGACCCTGCATTGTAAATAGAGCCCATCCCATACATTGGGAGCGCTGACATTAGCAACTGTGTTATTACACATATATTGGCACTGGTCTGTGTGTATGTGGGCAGATATGGGCTGAAATCAAAGACAATCAAAGATTTTGCAGTTGTGTGTAAGAAACACATATTAGTTACTTCCAAACGTGTTTATAAACTTTAAGTATTATCATCTGTGTTTGATATGCACAGGCGACCGATATGTGTGTATCATGAGCTTTAAAGCAACTGTTCAATGTATAAGTGAGCTATCTGCAACACTGTTGTACTCAAATTAAGTTAACTTTGATGCAGTGCAGTATGCCCATGTCATGAGATTTCAGTAATCCTGTAAATAATGTTTGAAAAAAAACAAACAACGTGTAGCAGGACATGTGTCTTATTTTAACATGCATGTCTGGTTCATAACAGCTGAAGATTCTTTTGGACTGTGGATTCTCATTTTTCATTTTGTATCGCCACATACACACTACATATAGCATGTTGAATTAATGCCTTTCTGTTTGTTTATGGCCCTGTCTGTATTGCTAACATGTTTAACAAAATGGAATCTTTATTTCAGAAGGCGTCACTGATCCAAAGGAGATGTGGAGGACTATATCAACACAGTTTTCCACTCGCTCGGCTACTTAGCTCGAACAAACCACCAAGAGGTACTGCACCTCCTTATACTGGTAATGTAGCTACAGGAGTGCACACAATGACCTATGAGCCATTTCTACTTAATTATTTTGCTGTGTGTGTATTGAATTGGTTTAGGTTTTGAAAAGTTTTTCCCAAAGAGTGAAGAAAGCACCGGCGTCAACAAATCAGCTGAAGGTGAGCAATGTTTGAGTCATCCTCACAAGCAGCATTTGTGCATCCTCTTGTTGTCATTCCGCTGCAGTGTATGACTGATTTTCTGATACTATTTAGATGAAAATACCAAAGAGCAAGAATGTCTTGTAAGGAAAGAGCGGGACACAGATGATGATGAGGACGACAAACGAAGAGGAAGAAAAAAAGAAGAATCTCACTGGTGGACGCGTTTTCAGGTGCGACTAATGTTTAATGCTCATTAAAATGCACTGCACACAAACACTAATAACATTGATTGGTAATAATTAATTAAATTACTTTGGCATCCTTTTGTCACATAAATTATCTTATATTGGTTCTGTTTCACTCCTTTCCACTGTAAAATGCACATATATTGGTCACATTTATTTATCATTGAAATTTTATTGATTCTTATGAAATCACATAAATGTTTGCTTGTTTATGTTATCTATTTGTTATGTTTTTGTGTTAAATTAACATAAGCTGATATATTGTTGTTAGACTTTCTAAACTTTCAAATGTTAAATTTGATATTTTCCTTAAAACATAAAGCACCGAACGAGTCAGTTAAATAGCTGCTCATAGGTCTGAGACGCAGAATAGTGGATTGTTTTTCATTGGCTTGCTGACACACCTGCTGTCTCGCCTTTAACCAACTCATCTCCTCTCTCTTACATGTCTTCATCTAACAGGATGGTTTTCCGTTGGACAAAAAAGCAGTTCAGTACTTTGCAATCGGTGCAGCAGGCATGACCTCAGCGTTTTGGTACTTTTACTTTCGAGAGACGGGGGTGCAGATCTCCTGGAAGGACTTTGTGCATCATTACATGAACAGAGGCTTGGTAAGAGGTGGAGAGCTATAGTTTTGGTATCATCCGTCTTGTATCAGTTTGTTGTTGCAACCATGTGAACAAAAACAAAACAAAGTGCTCTATTCACAGGTGGATCACCTGGAGGTGGTCAATAAACAATATGTCAAAGTAATTCCTGCCAATGGAGTGAAGACATCAGAAGTGGTTAGTTGCATGCAAATGCTGTTTTGTCCTTTTGCTTTTAATGTAGGCCACTCTGTTGGTCAGTGTTAGTGGTATTTTGAAATATAGTTTAACAGTAACACAAGCAGAGAAGAGTCAAACAGCAATTTCCAAGGTCAAAAAATTAACTTTCATGCACAAGCGTTTTCTAACATAAGTCACCGCAATCTACCGGTCCTACCAGACCAAGTAAGACTGTCGCAGAAAAAACCCTGAGTAAATGGAAATGAGCAACGATGATGCAATTTATTGCTTATTTACATTTGTAAATGAAAGAATCTTTGTCTTCCTTGTTATTTCTTATTTAAAAACATCAGTAGTCTTGCTTTGAAGTTTAACATTTCTAAGCGGTATACTGCATGTTATATGTTTTCTGTTGTGCGTATGTTTCAGAGCTATTTGTGGTTCAACATTGGCAGTGTTGACTCATTTGAGCATAACCTGGAAACGGCCCAGAAAGAAATGGGTTTGGACTCACAGAAGGTACCTGTGTTTTACAGCAGTGAAAGTGACGGGTAAAAGAATTTACCTGAAGTACCTGAAACATTCATATCAAAGTGACTTTTATGCACATTGGATTTGCACATGTTGACGCTGGCCTAATGGAGCTTCTTTCTCTTTTCCACAGGACACTGCTTTTCAGTGTTCTCCCCACTTTACTCCTGGTCGGCTTTTTACTTTTTGCTATGCGGCAGGGACCAATGGCAGGCGGTCGTGGGGGTAGTCGGCAAGGAAACCCCTTCAGTATGAGTGAATCCAAAGCCAAGGTAATAAAAGACAACATCAGCTTTCGGTTCAAAGATGTTGCTGGCTGTGAGGAGGCCAAAGTGGAGATTTTGGAGTTTGTCAACTTCTTGACAAACCCGCGGCAGTACCAGGGCCTAGGAGCCAAGATCCCAAAGGTGTGCCATTCTGTATATCAAGTATTGTGCATTTGAATTATTCATTAAGGCATTGGTATTGATCATTAAGCAACACCTTTGTTTTCAGGGTGCGGTGTTATCGGGCCCACCTGGTACCGGCAAGACCTTGTTAGCAAAGGCCACAGCAGGAGAGGCCAACGTCCCCTTCATCACTGTCAACGGCTCAGAGTTCCAGGAAATGTTTGTTGGCGTGGGCGCAGCGAGGGTCAGTACCTGGCTCAATGCAAGAGTCGTCTTAAAACTGAACAATGGGTCAAATGCATGTGATGCTGCTGTTGGGCCACATCATCTGTCAACACAATGATTCTGTGCATTGTCATGTTAGAGATACAAATATAGAGCACAATCTATCTTTGCTCTGCTCTCACTGTTCCAATAACAACACTAAAGGAAATTACGCTAACTATAGTAGTAATTAATTCTAATTTTGACATCTGTTAAGAATATTTAAGTGATTTGTCTTTGCTCTGTCCTATATAAGATAAGGGATACGTTTGCCACAGCTCGAAAAAATGCCCCTTGCATCCTTTTCATTGACGAGATCGACGCAGTTGGCAGAAAAAGAGGCAATGGGAGCTTTGGCAACCAGAGCGAGCAGGAAAACACCCTCAACCAGTTGCTTGTGGAAATGGACGGTAGGGAGTTATTATCATCTCTTTCGTTGTTCAAGCCATTCCTGGTGCAACATTTACCAGCTCTTTGTATGCTATTTGTTTTTGTCATTACAGGATTCAACAGTAGCACTAACGTGGTTGTTTTAGCTGGCACCAATCGAGTTGATATCCTGGATCCAGCTCTGATGAGGCCAGGACGCTTTGATCGACATATATACATAGGTAACGTGTAGCACTTGTCTGAGGTCAGCTTCCTCTCTTGCTTTATATTTGTCCTGCTCTCCCCTGGATGCATGAGAACTGGTTTCAGTTAATGACTTTTATAATTTATCCCCATCTAAGTCTTTTCTCTGAATCATCATTTATCACTGGGTTTGCTTTCAACATTCGTGTAAATCTATTTTTATATTTGCTAAGATCAATTCAAATTGCACTTTATCATTTGCACCATTGGTGTATTTGCCTGCTTCAGATGAGGTGCTGTGCTTTGACTTACTGAAACACTTCCTGTATGGTTTAAATAGAAATAAGCCTCAAGCCTATTAGATTAGCTGTTGTTCTTTTTTGCACCTGTTTGCATGTTATGTCATTAACAGCGTGTGTTGCACAGCGTGTGCTTTTATCTTTGTGGTTAAAATGATTGATCTTTTTCTGCCTGCTAAGATCTAATTTGCTTTACGCCAGCAGTGCTGAAGAATAGTGGGTCACAATGAAAGAGCTCGGCCTCTATAAAAGAAGGATTAGACGACTGGAGGCCAACGTGACGAATAGCACACGCCGCTCCTCTTTGTGTTCTTGAGTCTCTCGGTTCCCTTTCCTTTAGTCCTTGCGTTGTTATAAACCGTATTGATTAGATAAAGTTGCTTCAAACACTAACAACACATTACTAATTCATGTTTGATCAGTAATAAGTTAGATAACCTGTGATATCATCATGTCTCTAACTTTTAAACAAAAATATGCGTGGGATTATTCTTCATGAATAATTCTTTGTGCTAAGGTCTTCTAATTAGGCCACAAGTTAAGCCATTGCTTAAGGACTCAGGTCTAATTGCTCCTTCAAATGCCCTTCACACACACTCAACTACCTTTGTGTAATTCTCAGCTGCCACTGCAGATATAACCTCCAGAGTATTCACATGTTAGAGAGGCTGTCTACAAGATAAGTGTTATTGACTTTATGAGTTCCTGTGGAAATCGTTCTCCCCTTGTAAGAGGTAATGCTGCTGTAGGGGAGCTTCATGGCAACACACTGCTGTCACAGGATTTGTCTTTCAATGTTGTCTTTACTGCCCAGTAGTTTGATGTGCAGAATTTGATGCACAGCTCTACAAACTTCATTTCATATTGTAGTTGTTGGCACCTACATTTCTAATTGGACTTTTCTGTAGCTGTCCTTCCTCTTTTATGCTGCTGTAGTTTGACTTGAAGTAATCCAAAGTCTTTAGACAACCTTGTTATCAGCTATGTATTGGCCGTTAACCATTTGTCAGTGTCATCTTGAAAATGAGCTGTATGACAAGAACATCTCTAAAGCAGGAAAAGAGCAAAGTGGTTGTCAGGACCAGTGGAATGAGCTTCTGTAATATGTGTAAATGTGACGTCCTCATGAGGTTCATAATCTGAGACACACTTCGCAGTTCACAGTTAGTCTTGCTTTTGTATCAGTAACATTATCATGTAATCCTGTTTCTTCTGCAGTATCCCTAATTTTAATCTTAATTTGGGCACTGCATATCATTCTTTTGTTTTAAGAGAAAATCCATGATATGTTTGTTTTCTTTTTCTCTACAGGCCCACCAGATATTAAAGACAGGGCATCCATCTTTAAGGTGCATTTAAGACCTCTGAAGTTGGACATTACTATTGAAGTAGAGGCTTTGGCCAGGAAGCTAGCTGCGCTAACCCCAGGTTTTACTGGTAAGAACAAGAGATGTTCGTTCATGTTTGCATGCGTTCACTAAGCTCAGTCTTTGTATTAATCTACAATGATCATTGTCTTCTTTATCTCTCACTCTATTTAAAAAAAAAAACCACCACCACAGTCTAACTTGGTTGTTTTCGCTCCATTTGTGTCTCAGGGGCAGATATTGCTAATGTGTGCAATGAGGCTGCTCTAATAGCTGCACGCCACCTCAACCATCATGTCAACTCGAAGCACTTTGAGCAGGCAGTCGACAGAGTTATTGGAGGTGAGTTGACATTCATTTGATATTATGACAATATTTAGAATGACAATTGGACATGGGTTGTACACCTTAATCAAGTTAGTTAGTAGTAAAAGCAATTTCAATACATTTTGGTACTATTATCAATTATGTAATGTAAGTTTATATTGAGCCATCAATGTGAACTTTTTGCTTTAATTTGAGATATACATGGTATACATGACATCCTCCTTGCTCTCAGGTCTGGAGAAAAAGACTCAGGTACTGCAGCTTCCAGAGAAAACTACCGTGGCGTATCATGAGGCCGGACATGCTGTAGCGGGCTGGTTCCTAGAACATGCAGACCCCCTTCTTAAGGTAGTCGCACCATCTCCTTCCTCCTGTCTCTGGCACTGCTGCTTGACTATCTGAATTCCTCTGCAGCCCTTGCATAGTCTTGGTTTTAAGTTACAATTAACACACAACAACATTAATTATAATGTACTCCCTCAGGTGTCAATTGTTCCCAGAGGGAAAGGTTTGGGTTATGCACAGTATCTGCCTAAGGAACAGTACCTGTTCACTCAGGAGCAGCTGTTTGACAGAATGTGCATGATGCTGGGGGGTCGAGTGGCTGAGCAGGTTTTCTTTCAACGAGTCACCACCGGTGCGCAGGATGACCTCAGGAAGGTCACGCAGTCTGCGTATGCACAGGTGATCACCACATGTTACAACAAGCATGGTAACAGATACACAAAGCTGTAAACTACTGTATGTGATTCTAAATATACCTTGTAATTACATTTTATGCAATTGGGAGTCAGTGTTGTGTCATACACTCTCATATGCTGGGATAGAAGTTGTTTAAAATGTGGCAGTAAAATAGGTAATAATGAACAACAACACTTACAAGATATGTTTTTTGCTCTGTATATTAATTTAGTTTCAAGATTGATTTTCTCAAGATCGTAGTGACGGGTCAATCACAGACCATGTGAAATAGCAGGTCCTGTGTTGCTGCACGCTAATATTATTTATGTTGAGCTCTGCAAACAAGTAGTTTAATACAGACAAACTGCTACAGTAACAGTTATATTTACTGCCCGGGCTATTTCTGCAGGTGCACAATTAGAATCAGCAAATGATGTTGTAACCAAAGGCACATAAGAAGCATATTCTGTGTCTTTTGATTAACTAGGGTCATTTCTCCTCATATTTTAGGTTGTACAGTTTGGAATGAACGATGCGGTTGGTCAGATATCCTTTGACCTGCCTCAGCAAGGCGATTTTGTAACTGAGAAGCCCTTCAGTGAACCTACAGCCCAGCTTATAGACCAGGAGGTCCGCCTGCTTATTGATTCTGCCTTCCAACGAACACTTCAGCTTGTTACCGACAAGAAAGAAATGGTGGAGAAGGTGAGAACTATTACCACTGGTGACAAGGATATAGAGAAGTAAAGATAAAGAGCAGAACACTGACAGTATGATGCAGCAACTTTACAGCTGATTTATGGTTTGTTTGAATTTGTATTTTTACAAACTGGTTGGAATAACTGCTATGAAGATGGCAAACCTCAACGACCTTGTGTTAAGCTAGTTGTGATATTATAACTGTCATTATTTTAAAATAAATAATTACTATTACTTCTACCATCGTTATTATAACGCTTGTTGTTTACTATAATTCGTCATGTGTTTCAGGTGGCAAAACGTCTTCTAGAAAAGGAGATTCTAGACAAAGCCGACATGGTGGAGCTGCTAGGAACTCGTCCTTTTCAGGAGAAGTCATCGTATGAGGAGTTTGTTGAAGGGCTGGGGGAGCTTGAGGAGGACACCGCTCTACCCGAAGGGCTGAAGAACTGGAACAAGAACAAAGGGGAGGAAAACCCCCCACAGAATCAACAAAACAAAGCAGCCCTTTACCTGTAGGTGGATGCACAGCCTCAAGGCAAATATTCCACTGTATTCAGCTGAATATAGTTCAGCAGCATCTGGTCTCTGAAAGAAATTCCTTGTTCATCTCATGGACAGCGGCAAAGGGAGGGATGAAGTTGTTTTGCACAGGTCTTACATGGCCCAGATAATGCAATTTTTCATGTTGTAGATTGTATACTCTGGGAGCGAATTCCAAAAAATGACTCATCTTTTTACTGTTAGATCAGTTTTGGGTCAGTAAGCTAAGGCTTATATGAAAACTGCAGTTTGTGACTTACATTTCACTGGAGGGGCCTTCTTCTGACAAACACACTACAGAATAATCTGCAGTCATGGTCAGGATGTTTGTACATTCAAAACACATTGACATCATGTGACATTAGTGTGTACATTAGTTGTGGTGTGTATTTGTTAGCTACACACTGTACTGGTATCATGTGAGTTAAATTATATTCTGGGGCCCATTGCACTTGTCCAACCTTAAATCTATAAATTGAATAAGACTGCTTCCAATCTTGGCCACCCCTTTATTCTGTTAGTAATTCAATATTTAAAATGTGTTTTCCCCGAGTGGAGAAACCAGATTCTCTGACGGATGTTTTAAGTTTTTAAAGGTACTTTCACTGTACTTTTGACTTTTTAAAGTCTTTCTTCACACCATTGTAGAATGAAAACATTCTTACATTTCTGTGACATTTTGTCTTAACTCAAATACATTTCCATCACCATTATAGTCTTCCAGCAGACTTCAACCTGTATCAGTAAAGGTAGATGTTAGAACTCAAGTGTTTATACTTTTGCTTTGTGCACACATGACTGATATTACAAATGCAATTGGATCAGATGTACTGTAGGTTATTGTAGGTTATTGTCATTTCCTCGGTATCCCATAGTTACAAGAGTCAACATTGATGCAGTCATCCATCACTTGATTTGATGGTTACTTAAGAACTGGGAACAACTGAGCTGAGTACGATTTAAATATAAGCTGACAAAATGGCATACCACAAAATCTTCACTCACTCACACTACCTCTGAATCTCTGTATTCTTAACTACCTCTTAAAATAACATTCATCTTTTGGCAATTTATTGATCACAATATTGAAACTACAGTTTGGTTATGCTTTTATTGTTAATCATATGAAATTACATTCAGTCTGATACTTTCTGTGTTTTACTGCAGTTCATGTGGATAACACAAATGAGTAAGGGCTGAAAGTAAAGAGAGCATGAATTGGCTTTTCCATTGATGGACTGGCTGACCTAACCTTGACACCCTCGTCCAGCATTTATTAACATGGCAACAATTTGCCGTTACTCAGGAAATCACCATTCTGCCAGCTGTGGCTTGTGTTTGAATGTCTTCCCTAATTGTGAGGCATCCAAGCTAAGCTCGATAACCATTCATGTAGCATTCTCAAGCTCCTGAGCTGAGTTACCAGGTGTATTATAACACATAACACTTGAAGTAAATGCCTTGCAGTGTGAGCCTTTTTTTGTCCAATAGCTGGTTAAACCGACTAGCTTGCCTCTGGAACATTGATGAGCGAGCTGGTTGTATATCAGTGTAAATAAAATGTATTGTGTGAATTGTGCCTGCTCGACAATGCACTACTCTTGTACTTGCTGGATATATATTTCAACATGTCAGTGAGTATTATTGATTTTTCATTGAGATGTGACGACAAATGAGGTGTCTGAGGCTTTTGTTGCTTTCACCAATATTAAACAGCTTTTATACACTGCTGGTTTGTCTTTTTTATTCCCAGTATATTTTATTTTGTTTCTTTATCATCCTCTTTTCTCTTTTGAGATATAATTTCTAAAAATGTCAGAATTCTATTGTAACGGTTTTTATAATAGTTTTGTTCCAACATCAGTGTGTGTCCTGCATGTGTGGTGCTGTAAAATAAGACGTTCTACAGTCTTATGCAAAAAAGCATTTAGCCTGAGATCTTAGCAATTGTTGTATTACACTGATTAATTAACCTGGTTAATATACTGTATATACAGTTCAAATTTTAAAAAAGTGATATGCAAAAGAATGTGTACAATGTGTTAAAAATATTTTAAGGACATTTCGTATGTTACTCAGAAGTTGAGCAACCAATGTGCTTTCGCTTCTGCAGGGCACTTTTTAGACTTTGTCTTCATTGATACTGACATGAAAGCAGGGGACACAAAATGAATGTCAAACTACAAATCCAAAGTAATTCCATCAGCTTTACTCATCCCACTCAGCCAATTTTTATACTGTACCAACACATTTTACACAAGGAAGACCACATTTTTGAATAATGTAAATGAATATATGGAGTGCTCACCATGCAGTACAGAATGGGGCTGCATTTCCAAAAATGTAGGTTATGAATTTCACGATAAAATACACTTTTTCAAGACTTTTATTTCTTCTTCTATCATCCCAGTGTCACTTTTGATCCATCGTATCACAACATTCAGAATTATTGGCACCCCTGGTATAGACAAGCTAAACATGAGATAAATAAATCAAGTAATCAGCTACAACCTTAGAAAGATGTGAAATATTGCATCATGAGTTCAATAAATCTTTTCAAAGATGATTACAAAACAGTTGGCACTTTGTTGGGTTTTTGGCATTCATGCAAAGCTCACTGAAGTCAACCTGACTATAATGCGATTCTTCCTTCATTTCTAACTGCTTCAAGTATCACCAATCATGTAAATGTGTCTACCATCTTTGAATGACAAACTTTAATTACTTTAGCAGCGGCAACTCTAACAACCATCATTTTTAAAAAGGATAAAGAAATCAGAAAAGAATGATCGAAACAAAGTGTTTGATCATGGAAAGGTGTATTGCATATAGCTTGCTACTTGGTCTGTTTACCTTTTGTGCCATCTGCACCAAATGCCAATAATTCTGGGAGGGGACAGGCACTGTAAATACAATTCAGTGAGAGAAGTGCAACATTTTTCGTTTAGGCAATTATAATAACAACACACATTCTTCATTAAGATGGAGAAAGTATGATGGGTATAAAGAGCATGGCCTCACTGACATCCACTTCCACTGATCAAGTTACCATTATTGCAGGCAACAGAAAACAACCTGCCACATTTTCAAGTCAATACATTAAGTAATAGCCTCAGTGGGATATTTTATTCTAAACAGCTCTATTGATTTATGTTTCAAATCATATCCTGGTAATTCAATTTGAGTCCCACATGGAAGGTCTGGCCACAAGCTGTGGCCACAATTTAGGAATCATTTTCTCCGTCCAAGCTATTTTCCACCCTGAGAGGCTGTAAGGATGGAGGTGATCTTATTCTGCCGACCTCATACCCTGTCTGTCATTCACAACCAAGCTTAAAATCATTTGGCAGCCCAGAGTGCATTAAGAACTCCTTCCATGTAAAACACAATAATTGTGTGTTTGTGTGTGAGAGAGAAAGAGATAGAGATAACGAGGAGGAGAGAGTGTGTATTGCACATCTCAACATCTTTAGTTAGAGTACAGACCTAGTTGTCCAGAGTTCAACCTGAACTCGTCAGCACCATGGTCATGTGAGTGCACAGTGGCAGATGGGGGCCTCTTCTCTCTCTGGCTTGGGGTTTTATCTCTCTGCAGTCAGCCTGTTTCACATCAAATATCACATCTGCTTCGGCCTCTCCAGCTTCATTAAGGGCTCTGTGTCCGAGTCGCTGTGGTGCTTTCGCTCTCGCGGGGGCTCAACTTTGCTGCAGCGTGTCCAGGAGGGGGAGCGCATGTACCCACCTCTGGGCAGCATAGGCTGGTGGGAACCTGGGAACACACAATGACTTGTTACTAACAGAAATGCAGAGTCTCGGCAGATACAAATATGGAAATAGACAAAAGGAAATCACTTTGCAACCCTGTCGTGCTAAACACAACTTGAACTTGAAAATACAACTGTTTCAATGTTTATTGGTGTCACTATACATAGCTCTACACCTGCTAAAAGCATATTTAGAACTATTTCCAGAGCTCAACTGTTTAACTGTAACAGAAACCTTGCTAGATACAGTTGCTGCTTGCTTTCCTCCCAGCCATTAAAGACCTTTAGCCTATAACAAGCCTGCACTCACACATATATATATCAGCCATTTCTAGACATGCCACCGATTGTTGTTCATTCAAGATTAACGGGATCACACTGATTACATTTTTAAGGATTCTTACATGTGAAAGTGAGATGATGACCAGCTTAGATGGGCTAAGAAATTGATCTGCAAGAGCATTCATCACACAAATCACTGCTTTCTGTTTGTATAAACCAGTAAATAAATAATTCCCAAAAAGAATCTCTCTGCTACAACTCGGCCACTTTATACCAACTGTTTCTTTAGCTATTTTTTTAATATTTGCCATGGATTTGTTTTCAGCTTCGTTGTCGTTGCATCTTTGTACCACTTGGTGGTGATGTCCAACCTGTCAGGAGGACAAAAAGGCAAGAGGTGTAAAGACTGATGGAGAGCTGGAAACCGGCTCTGCCTTACACTGCCTGTACCGGTCTAATGCTGGATCTCTTAAGTGAAGGTCATACTAAGCACCTGGTTTATATATCTCCCCAAAGCCACATCCATATCCTCACACACATTACAGACTGAGATATGCAAAGCAAGAGAGAGAAAGGGGGGAGGTACACAAGAGGTATTGATCTCAAAAGATTGATGGCGTCTAGGATTTTAATGAGAAAGTGGGGACAACAACCTCCTCAGCAGCATGAAGGAGTCTGCTGCAGCAAGCGCTATAAACACCTGCTGATTGACTGGTTGATGGTTACTGTACATATCTGTGTGTCTGCGATGTGTCTGGATTTTCCATTCCTTGTGTGCATTCAGAATTATATTGACCTGTTTTTGCCCTGACATCTAATTAAAAGACTGATGAACATGAATTCATTCATACATGAAAATAATTGAACACACACAAAGGAATGTTTGCCCACCTGAGAGGTAAAGTAATTAGATACTTCCCAACAACATACAAAGATGTTTCCTTTATTCTCTCCCGCTCTCATGCAGTCACATACACAGAGTACCCTGAGCTATGGGGTACTGCACTGTATTCCTTCTGTGCTGCTGGCTAGCAGCCATTAGATTCTTCAGTCAGCATGTTGCTGCATAACCTAATGTTTCTGAGACACTAGCCTCTCCCAGAGAAAGGAAAAACAGGAAAAACAACATTTGTGTATATGTGCACATGTGCAGTGGGTGACAATGCCCTTCTCATTAAACCGATTTAAGGGAAACAACACTTGTTTTATATTTTTTTGCATACTATTTCTAGCACAGCACAATCACTGTTTGGGAACTGGGACAAGTACTTTTCAAAGATAACAATCTGTAATGTCCTTAACAGCCTGAAGTGGCCCTAAAGGTAGTGAGTTGAGCTCGAATCTGATATTCTTTCATATTCAAAGAAACTTTATAGAGTGTCTATAAAAAGCGGTCTTGTTGTAGTCCTAAAGGATAAATGGGTATATAACTGCTGAATGACCCAAGACAGGAAGCTGCTGCTTCACTGCCTCTCAATGGGCAGCAACATGTTACAACAGGCATCACATCTGGCTACAACCTGAGCAATGACATTACTGCAGGTGTTTGACAGCAGATTGGAAACACCTGTTTCGGCAGTCTGCAACGTCATCAGTTAAAACCCTGTTACTGCTCCAATGACCTGGAACAAGAGGCCAAAGCTATGCCTATGGTAGTTTTTCAGGGATGTGGAGGAACTCTATGGTTCATGAGGCTCATCTTAGTATAAACAAAGAGCAAACCTACTGGACAGAGTCAACCTCTTCTTGTGTGCCAAGACACAAGCGTCTATAAATAAAGTGCTAGTGCGGTAACAGATTATGATTACTGTGGCTTTGAAGGACCAGGCTATGTTTCCAGCAGGGAGAAGTGAATTACTCAAGAAGAACCTACATTCAGCATTAACTCGCTCACTCATCTTCCTTTAACCTCTCCCTCAACTCCGACTTGCCCTCAACACACTGGCACATACTCAGCAGTTTCCCATCGAGAATAATGCTCACAGAGCACAGCTCAATATTACCACTTTTGCAAAACAACCTCTGACACAAATAAATCAAATCAATCTATCCCCCACAATGAACTCAACTGATGACTACATGGACAAATAAACCCACATACTACAATTCAAAAGTTGCCTTGCATGAAATTATAGCGCTGGATGACGGAGGTTTTAGGGAATCCATGAACAGCTGGTTTCACAATAAGTTGCTCTTTGCATAAATCCTTTCGCTCTCTCTCACACACACATCCACTGTCATTGTCTGCACAGCACAACATCTGTATTGGACAGTAGAATATCTTTAGATTATCACACTGAAAAGTGTATTTTTAAATTGACAATGCTTTTCAAATGTATAAATGACAGGTAAAAGGGGCAATGACTCGACAATGTACAGTGCAAAACAAATCAAATCAAGCGTTATCCTATTGTCCTTGTGTAGCCGTGTATGTGAAACACTTTGCAGTTGCTCTAGTCTACAGTATCCGTCTGCAAACTCTCTACAGCAATCTTGGTGGCTGCATTTGGGATTTGTATCATTCCTCTGTTAAAGCCGTATCTGAGGCAGACATGGGGAAAGAGATTGGAAATGAAAGATAAAGAAAGGTGAAAGACAGAGGGTGGAGGAGAGGAGGATTGTGTTTGTGGTGGGTGTGAGACAAGTACAGCAAACAGGTAGAAGAGAGAGATTTTTGGAAGCAGCACTGGACGAAATGATACATCTCACGTCAAAAGGTTAAAGATGTTCTTGGAGGAAGAAATGTTGATACCTATTCTCAGATGGCTGATCTATTTTTATTCACAGTTTATTCAGGTAAAAATACAAGAGTGAACGACACACCCTGCTTATTGTGAGGTTGTCACTTGCATTTATTAACAATAAAAACAGATCATCTGAATATGTCATTCTGAGGGTGGAAACATTTAATCATTATTGAGATTTTGTTTTTCTCACAGATCTGAGGCTGTGGAAATGAAATCATTTGACATAATAACAGTTGTATACAGCTGTACGTCTCCTGACAGCAGGACTTCATCTTGATTAGCAGGGGAGCGGATGTGAGGCCTTGGACTTAAAGCCTCTTGGCTGTTGCATCTCCTGCAACTGGCTACTGAAAAGCAGCTGTGGCCTGCGATTAACAAGAGCCTGAGGGATCTTGGTGTGGTGGTGTTGGAAAACACAGCTGAGAAGGATGGAAATGCTAAAAATGTGTAGTCTGCTCAGCTGTGGGAACATGGGTTAAAAGAGTTAAATAAGTATGTCAGATATTAGTATAATTTACAGATGTTACAATGTTTAAGGCTCACGTTTTTCCAGTACAATTCTTCGAGATGCATTGGGGTACATGTTTTATATTTTTAAATTTGTATTTTAGAAGCTGCAAAACATTTTGGAGCCATCTTTATCAATCAAACTGAACTAAAGTTAATCAATTGTGGCAGAATGTGTTATCTAATGATGCATCAAATTTGAAAAAAACTGAATCTAATTACTCTTGGATATACTGTGTCGACCCCATTGTGTATGAATTCATCAATTCATAAATAAAACAACGTTATAAATCCCCTGATTTCACTTTTTAAAGGAGCTTAGTTATGTCATGTTTTTTTCAACAGGAAGATTGCTTATATGTGACTATTCTATTGCACCTCAGACAAGTAACTCGCCTGCAAGTGTATCATTTAAGAATTTCACAAATGAACGGACTTCAGTGCTGCCAAGTCATGCTGTACACTACCTGCTCAGCAGCAAACAGCAGACAATTAGCGACAAGCTAGTGAACACAGTGGAGTATCCGGTGGAGCTCAGTTGGTATAGTAGCTGCAGATGGTGATCATCAAGACAACCACACAGCTGTCCTACAATACAGTTGTCTTAGCACAAGCAGGAGTGAGAAATAAACTGGGTGAGACTGAATCAAAAATCCTGTCAGTGAATATAATAAACTGAAACATTGCTTTAAGTTTTGGTGAAGCATTTTACTTGAGAGTACTCTAAACTCAACAATGCACAAGGTTTTACTAAGAAACAAAGAACAAGGGTCTTTCTTGCACATAAAGGGGCCTCTGCACTTTAATTTAAATAATTGGCTGTGGAGCAGCATAGCACAGATGGCCTACCATAACTCACACATAACAAGCTGTGCCATGATATGGAACATTAGTAAGAAACAGAAAAGAGAAGGAAGGGAGATAACACTGTTGTTGTTCAAGAAGGAGGAGATAAGAAATGTAAGAGAAAAAAAGAGAAGCATATAGAAAGAATATAAGGAAAAACTTGATTTATAAAGTTTTAAGATGACTGTTTCTCCACAAGAGTGAGAAATAAGTATTACATCCAGCACAGTGTTTCAGTGGACCATTAGGTCCTCTTTAAGTCACTGTCACCAGAATGATGAATATATATTTGAACCTATTGCATATTCTCAGCCAAAGCACGAGAATTTGTTACACACCTAGTTGGTGACAGTATCATAATTGAAAGCCGGACATTTTTATCAAGAAAAATGTGATGTTTTAAACTTTGTGACGAGCACAATCCATGCACAGACCATACAATATTTGTAAGGCATTGTCTAAACTGTTGCGGTGGACCTCTAAATCTTGAGCTGGCATGAAATCCTGTGTGCATACTGAACGGCAGGAGCGTCGCAGGAGGAGAGAGTTCACTGTCCGCATGCGTGATGAGGCTCACAGGTCATAAATAAAACATGGCAAAGATTTTGTACATCCTTGTGCGTATTGGGAGAAAGACGTGCTAGCCTTTACCCTGTACAGAAGCTGCTGTCGGTTTGTGCAGGAGGTTCATCGTTTTCTTCATTCCCGCTTTCCTGTTTTGTTGAGACTCCAAGTGCCAATTTGGTAGAATCAAATTAAAACTGTTTCTCATAATGCTGTTTCTCAAACAGCGTGAGGCAATTTCAAAATGGAAGTTTAACCTGTTAAGGGCATTTATTCCAGACACTGTGAAATATTTTTTTGATGAGTCCCTGAAGGGAGTTAGGTGGCATATCAAATCATTATGGCTCAGCAGGCCCTTTTAGGACCCGGCCAGGCCATAATGATGTGAAACTCTCCCTTTCCCAGGTCACTGAGTAATACCACATTCAGAAGTAATGTTTTATGTTTCTTTTTGCAGACATCTTCATCCCTAAAGTCACTGAGTTGAGGTCGAGGACTGCAGGGATGGAATTTAATTTGAGGAAGTGCCTCCCTAACTAATCAAATGATACATGATACAAGTAACACACTGACACAACCAAGCTTTTTAAGTATAAAGCTAGAGGGCAAAAGAAAAAATCTACGGGGATTTGTTTTAAATAATTTTCCTTTGCATTTGTGTAAATACAAATCTGTGCATGGGCAGGAAGAGGCTCCTGTTTGTTGTAATTCCCTTTTAGCAGACCTTACCTGCTGGGGACTCGTTGTGGTTCTCCTCATCAGAGTCAAAAACTTCAGTCAGTTCCTGGTCGGACATGTCAGTCAGCTCAGTCAGATCCAGGAGGTCAAAGTGCACCTCCAGAGAGGACACACTACTCAGTGGTTCTATGAGGCCGGGAGAGAAAACAGCATACTTTTAGTCTGGAGGAAGGTTAAGAGATTCAAATTATTTTTTTAAAGTAATGGGGGATAGACTGCATATATTTTCAACACAGAGCTCCTCAGCCCATCATGTACCGCTCTTAAATCTCCATTGTACTCATAATCAGATCAATTGCTGGCTTTTGCAGTACTGTTGTAAAATTGATTTCGACAAAGAACATATTTACTCTTTTATTCACTTTTGTCTGTACATGTCTTGCTCAGTGCTCTCTACTTTAGAAAACAATTCCAACACACAGTAGATTACTTATATCTGCCTCAGAGCTCGCCACTGTGGTCAGTGTCTCTGTTTCAGCATGACACCTGTGAGTTCATGCAGGCAGTCACAGAGGAACTGAAACAAGAGCTAAAGTCAGAGGAGATGAAAATAGCCAGATCTTCAACACATTGTGAATTCCATCTTTCCCCTGGGTGTGTTGCACCTGTTCATTTCCAGCACAAAATTCCTCGGCAGACGGGAGTCACTACTGCTGCACGCAACAGGGTCAAATGCACATGAGGCGTGCATCAGCGCGCCAGGCTCTGCATTCCAATCAGGCTGAAATTTGAATGTGATATATGTAAAGTGACATTTTTTTCAAAGACTCTGTAATACATACATAAAGCCTAGCAAGGGTCCAAGAGCTTGTCTCAGCATCACTGAAGTTAGGGACCGATTCTGTGTAATAGAGCTGAACTAATCTACCATTATAGTGAGAAAGGTGTTTGGAGACTTCACTGAAGCAGATGTAGGTGTTTGTATTTCCTCATGAATCAGTTGAAGCCTGTCTGCCATGCAACGTCAAGTCTGAAACATTTCACTGGTCGTTTGTGGGCTTGACTGTGTGGAGAAATGATGGGTTACGTGACAGGTTGAAAGCTGTTATTATCCCATGTCGTTTGCCTGCTGTTTTCCACGCTGTTTAAGACAATGCATCTAGTTGAAGAGGCAGAACCCACTCTCCTGCTGCTGTTACATCTAACTCCCTGCATCATCCTTCAGCAGCTATTGATTGAAAGAAGACTGATCATCATGCTGAAGCAGTGACTGGTCATTGTGCCATGTTTCAGATATATTAAAAACATTCAACACCAGAAATGCCAGGAGACACGTGGAACAAAAATAAGGAAGCAGTGACTATGAGAGAATGCAAATAAGAGATGGGCAAGGAAAATTCAGAGACTTTGGAGTTTGAAGTCTAAAGGTGTCCTCGCCTGTACTTTAATTCACCCCAAACCATCTGCTTTACTCAAGAAGTCCTACCCGTATTCATTACCAGGACTGGGTGAAATGCCGGTCATTTCGGTATCAAAATGGGTTTTATATATTTACAAAGCCAGGGACCATGTGGGTAGCATATAAAAGCTCCACGGAAAATATTAGAAATGTTAATGTCTACAAAAAGAGTGAAATAGGGACAGAGAATGGCAATAACGATGAGGGAAGACTAACAAATGAGTCACGAGAAAGAGAGGAATATTGCATGGCAGCGACGCTATCACAGTGACAATATTTGAACATAGACAGAAATCTAAACATTGAGCAACTCCCACACAGACTCACAAGATGTGAACAGTGAGTCTGTGGGCCCTTGTGGCAGAAGCCATTTGTCATAATGTCATTGCAGGTGTAATCAATAACATGATTACGGGGCCCTGTTCCATTTAGTTGTGACAGGGCCTGGGTATTGTGAATGCTGGCTCCCTGGAGTGACTGTGATATACCTAATAGAAAGGGACCATAGTTAATCAGATCATTTACACCTGTGTGCGTCCTGCCATGACATGGCTGCTTTGAAAGGGGCCTATACCACTGTCACTGTCGCGGCTGGTAATAATCCTATTAGCTTTAATGTGATCTTTCATGCTATTCCCCAGTTCTATTTAAATCATAGAAGGAAGGCTTTACTGCCAAAGGAGACCACATATGTCACTTTTAGCATCTCCTTCTTGTTAGCTCAGCAGTTAAGCTACCACTTAGATATAGAATGATTTTAAGTTTTTATTGAACACACTTGAGGCTTTGCTTGTTCTACCATCATAATACACTGCAAATATATAAGCCTGAGGCTTGACATCACATTACTCCTTTACAGCAAAATAATAAATTGTTTCTAAAAGACACTTCCTAAAAGGGTTACGCTAACGAATTCCCCTTGCCACACCATTAACCTCTGCACCACATATGATTAAACAGCAGCATCCAAAAGTCAGAATTAAGAAAGTGCGTGTGTCTGCTGTCTCATAGCAGTACATTCAGTGGAGAAACACTGCAATATGCAATCATTGGTTGACAAAAATCACATAGAACCTGTTTTGTTTTTTTCTTCCTTCATATTTTTCATTACTTGCGTCTTGACTGCGTTTGTGAATACATTTTTACTTTCCCTTTAGGCTGGAAGGTGCCTGCTGACAGCTATCAGTCTTTTTGACCCCCCTTTTCTGGAGGAGTGAAGAAACTGGAGGCAGTGAAACAGGGAGTTTAAAATTGTGGAGGAGGACATGAAGAGAAACAAGGGAGCGGCAGGATGATGTGAGAAGAGGGAGAGATGAAGCTATGTAAGAAGGTTGATGTTAAAGAATAAGGAGGAAAGGAAAGCGAGAGAAGGTATAGATTGAGGAAGGCATGATGTAAAACAAAACACCCCCTGCATTATTTACTGCCATTATTTTCAATAGGCTACAAGGTTATTCCCACTCTGCTGCGCTTGTTTTTTAACCAGCCCTTCCCCATCCCTTTTCTCCTCTCCCACACCCTTTCTCCTTGAATAATTGATCAGTGTGTTTTCTCTCCCAGGCAGACGCACTGAAAAAACTGCCTCCATCTCAAAAGCCAATCAGGCGAGCTTTAAGACGCCAGTGAGGGGGACTGACAATAGAGGTTTCACGCTGAGACTAAAGAAGGACATTGTGCCTGAAGCAGATGGATGATGTAAAAAAGGCCACTCCCTCTTCTTACAGCAAGCTTACAGCCTGGTGGCCAGTAAAGTCAAATTTGTGTCTTCTAATCCGTACTCCTTCCTAACATATTCTTATTATTTTTAGCATGCCCTTAATCTCACACTCAGCATTCATGACTTTGAAGTTAATGTGTGTGAAATAAAGGTTCCTTTAATTTACTGAAAAGTAAACTGGGCACAAATAATTGTTTGCATGCTATCAATTTGATGTTCTATAAAAGGGTTTCCTTTCATTTTCTCTCTCTTTTCTTCTCTTTGCAAGTAGAAAAGTAGCTACAGATTGGTTCAACTGAAGGAACAAAGAACAGAGAGGATGGGTAAAGGTAGGAGTTCACTTTTGGCAGAAGGGATATATGGGAGTAGAGGGGATGTGACTTGCATGCTGGAGCTGTGTGATCCCCTTCCTTCTCTACTGGTTCATCGGCGCTCTGAGGTCATCATTCAAGCCTGAGCAGCTGGTAATGATGATGAGGCTTTGATGGATTAAAGGCGTTTGATTGAGAAACAGCCAAGGTATTGAGATAGTATATTAAACAACAATACAAAGATATATTAAATATATTCTGTTGCAAGTGTGTATTTCTTTTCTCCTCACAGTGACTGAACATACGGGCACTTGTCCATACTTGTCTTGTGCTAGTTATTTGATGTTACATTTGCTACGTTTGCTAATCAACAACAGACAGGTAAGTAAGCTGCAATTTTTAACTTTGAGACCGCACACACAGCTACGTAAGTCCATCAAGATTTAAACATGTCGCCTCGATGAAAACACGTTAGCTGAAAATGTTTGATGAATAAAGCATGGTTTACTGGGCTGTATCTGCGCAACATGTTATAGCATATGCTGTAAAATAAACTCCACTAAAGTCTTTGAATCCCAGATTTCCCAGTTCTTCCCTTTGACTCCTGGTTTCTGCTATTAAAGATCAATACAAACAGATAAACATTTTTTGGAATTAAGACCACTGCACAGCAGTCACCATACATTTTTTATCCGTCCACCCAATCCCAATAACAAAGGGAAAATGTATCTGCACTGCAGTTTAATATGTTTTTTTAATGCATTAGTAGATCTATTGTACCTGCATTTTGTTGTTTTTCAATGATTTAGTTGCCACTAACCCACTAACAACTTGCTTCTCTCTGGGATATTGAAATGTTTGTCTGTTTAACGTAGGCTGTTTGCTCTGGGCCTAAAAATAAATATTGCAGACAACTCAGGAGCAACCGTGGTCCCCCTTACTGGAGATAAAACTGCAGCACAAGGCAGGAATTTGTTTCTGTGACAGTCAAGATGAAGCTGCATTGTGGCTCTGTGGACATTAACCTGAATTAATGATCTCCATAAAATTTAAAGAGCAGGTACATTTTATTTTAATGTGATTCCTGATCTCTAAATTATAGGGGGGTAATTTACGATAACAAGGGGGTGATCATTTGGATTACATGTTTTCTGAGGATGGGATCATTTCTTTCTTTCTCTTTATAGCCACAGATTATAAACTGACCTGCCAGGTGGCACGGCCAGTTAGTGGGTCACGTTAAATCATCGAGACACGGACATTAGCCTCTGGATGAGCTGTTTCTCTGAAAAAGTGTTTGGTTAGTGAAGCAGATAAAGGTTGTCTTTTCACCCGAGTATCTGTCTCTGTGCACTGGGCTCTGAGTCTGGCCCGTACAGGGAAGCCTCTGTATGCTACTGATGAACAATGAGTCATTTCATCCAAGGCTGGTCTTTCAGAATGTGGGACCGTAAAATCTAAAATAGTCTGCAATCATTCACTGGGTTTAAAGATCAGAGAATGTTACATGTTTTATATGTCAGATTCATTTTGTGTCGCATATGTTGCTGTAGTTCGATTGACTGTCACTAATAAGACACTCTTTAACAGAAGCAGGATATCCTCTGCCCTCCTTATTCAACATTCCTCGTCTCCTTCCTTGTATTCACTTGCTATTGATCAGGTATCTTGCTCGAAGCATTTTCCACCCATAATTAGCCGGTAACATTGCAAACGATGAACATTCATCCCTCTTCGACTTTCTTAATATCGCCTTCTCTTTACCCACCTCCCCCGGTACTCACGTCTCTTTTCGGTGATGTGCAGCAGACTGGCAGTGTGCCCTGACAGGCTGCCTTCCTCCTCCTCCCCTGCTGGGCAGTGAAACAACTCCTTGGATAGGTCACCTGAGCTGGAGAGCTTCAGCAGCTTCTGGATATCTTTGTTGGGCTCTATCAGCACACATAGATACAGAAACAGATAGTGAGAGGGAGCAAAGAGAATAAAACGGTGGAGACATTCGTCATAGCTAGATTTTTAATACAAAATTACATTAGAGATGTGTGCTTTAGTTAACTTACTGTAGACCTCAGGTCTACATCTAACCTGGAACAATTTAAGGCATGAAGAAACTTCAGTCAAATCTACGAAAACACATCTTGGAGTAACGCAGGGGACAAAATCACTTAAGAGATCCTAAGTACTAAAATAACTCAACGTTGGGTCCAGTGTCTGAGTCGTGTTCGGTGATTATTATAAAATCAATATTATGTTTTCCCACTCAATGGAAAAATCTAAACCTGACATTAATCCCCAGGTAACTGCATCACCTGTCCATTGAAATTCATGAATAACTCAATCTGTTTGTTTGCCGCTAATATATTCTTTACAACATTCAGATGTCAATCCTGTATCAATGTCTGTTGTGTATCTATTTGTATACAGTGTCGAAAGTTTTATAGATGTGTGATTCCTTGAAAGGAGATTTGTTTACTTGACTGTGGGTAAAAATTTAATTCAACAGTTACTGTATATTATTGTCATGTTTCTAATAAACATTCTGAGAGCCTAGTCATGCTCTTCAATCTCAACCATCCATTCCAAAAATAGCAAAAACAAGTTCACGCAGGCTATTAACAAGTCTGAAAATAGAGGGTACTTAAAATAGCATCCCTTCAAATGCAGGAGTATGCACAATATCTGTTTGCCTGTTTGACACAGCGAAAACACAGAGGGGGATGTGATGAGGCTGAGTGAGGTAAGGACAGGAGTACGGAAGTGCTGCACATTTAACTGAAAGATTACAGAGAACTGAATTGCAACATGAACTATCTGAATTTCTAAATTAAGGAAGGCTGAAGTGAGCTGAAACAGGCATGTTAGATACAATCCCACAATTGATTTATCAACAATACAAACTAGTACTACAGTTTAAAAAAAATGACATTTAAAAGAAAATGATGACAGAAAAAAAACAATATATGTCTAAAGAAATATTGCAAAAATAACGGCAGTATGGCTTTTTTATGATTACATTTTTTTATGATGATATGCAGAGTTGATAGAAAGACGTGGGAGTAGAGCAGACTCCTGATGGGTGTCACCAGATGGCTGGTGAGGCTATTCCTTCTTGCAGTATGCTCCTAGACAGTTGAATTTCTCATTTCAGATTAAAAGTGTGCCAAGCCAGAACATGATGGATTCTGCTTTCACCCTGAGAAGCACAGTGTGCATCGGTGGCTGTTGATTGATTTCCCCAGCGAGGAGCCACAGAAACTGAAAGAAGATAAAGTTACCTCTGCTGTTATAATGAGATGTTTGTTCAGTATTTAGATGAGCAGCTTAGGTTTTAATTTCCATCACCTTCTTCAGTAGACACTAATTCTCACACAGTTGAGACAACTGCTTTGAGGCAGTTTAAATGGGAAATACTGTAGACTGTACTTGTGCTTTTCTACTCTTCCGACCACTCTAAGCGCTTTAACACTGAATTTCATCATCCACCCATTCACACACTGATGGCAGGGGCTACCATGCAAGGTGCTACCCGCCCATCAGAACTATCTAATCATTCATACCGATTCGTATGCCGCAGGAACAGCCTGCGGAAGCACTTAAGGTTAATTAAGGTTCAGTGTCTTGCTCAAAGACACATCGACATGGACTAATGGAGCCGGGGATCATTAACCCTAAAATTAGCTTTTTCCACAGAATTGTTATCACAAGAGTAGTGGGCTGTTTGTGTTGCAGCGCATTCATTAAAAAAGCAAATTCCCCATGTTTTAATGAGCGATTTGTGTTCTACAAGGACATGTAGATGCATGACCTTATGTCACATTTGATATGTCCAAAAGTTTAGTGAAAGTTAAGTGGAGGATGAGGAGGTTAACCATAAGGATGGTTATTGGCAGAAGAAAAGAGCTTTTAAGAAAGTATTATCTGCGTGCAAAGCAGGAAAAGTTCACACAGATGGCCAGATCTAGCCACCACCTGCCAAACCCGCTGTGAAGAAAGACGAAGAGTAAACAACAAGAATGTCACTGTCTTTACTGTTGGTGAAAGACAGACAGCTATCAGAAATGTGGTCTTTTCAAGCAATGGCTGACCCTGCCTCGAGCTGTCAGCTGTGAAACACCTGACCCTCCACAGACAGATGGAGAGAAATAAAATGATGAGAATGATGTATCGTACATTTGCCAAATGTTGAATCAAACTCATTGTCTCGGTTCAATAAACCAATTGCTGTTTGTAGTGCAGGCAGTTAGAATCAACATCCTCAACACCATTTTTCGTTCATCATCATCATTTTGCTTGCTGATTGCTCTTTATCTTCTGTACTTAAGAGTAATGGTTTCATTTGTTGGGGTATACAATATACTCAATGAGTATTTCCATACAAATGTCTCTTAAAACAGATTACCAGATTACTGAGCAAAGAGAATAAATTAAGAAAATGTTGACTCCAGAAATATTTTTTCTGAACAGTTTATGGTGTTGCTGGTGCATTTTCCAGCAATATTTAATTCTAATCCTCCCAAGTAAAGCCAGCAATGCTACTTTGTGGCTGTTGAACAGAACAGCCACACTGCTCTCCAGAAGTCACACTTTGTGACCCTGTCCTGTGATCCATCATAATAATGATGTTCACTCTAATTCAATCATCATAGTGAACACATAATACCCCAATTTGTCATGGGCTGGTAATTCTGGCCGTCAGCATGAACATGTAGTGCTCAGATACTGTCTGTAAACAATGATAAGTGGAACAAAGCCATGCCAGGAAAAGAAGGATATCCCATTATATCTGCTGAAATTGCATCTTATAGTGTCTGCAGAGACATTATTTTTACCCCAAGGTACAATAGAGTAATAAAGCAATACTTTAATAGTGGTTGAATGCACACTGGAGGTTCAGATGCAGCTAATATACTGATAAATAAACTACCCTTCTACAGCTTGTCTTTGTACATTACGAGAGGCATATTTTATTATTTATCAAAGCTAATGTTATAATCTGTCACATTGTAGATAGCTTACAATAATTAGCCTGCACTATATATAGACACAGTTATATCATCAGCCCTTTGTGAATGTTTGTTTGTTCAGATGTTACAGTGCATCACTACTGGGGCATTGTGCAGTGCTACCACACAGCACCGGCTTCTCTGGATGGCCTTAACACAAAGGCCATCTGAGTCCACTGTTGTATTGCAATTTGTATTTCATCATTCCAGCTTTTGCATGGTTGACTACAGTGTGTGGATATAAAAAGACCTGTACTGCTAGGCAATAGATTAAACATGAAGCTTAGATGTAGAGATGAACCCTCCACAATTGGATCCTGGGAGAGGAAAATGATCAAAGACGGTACCTGTGCACTGCTAAATTCAAACCTAACATATATCAGTAAATATATTTTGTCTAGAAAATCAGAACAATGTATTTAGATGGTCTAAACCAGCTCATCTGACAAGTATTAATCAGTTCCATCATTTATAAAGTGTCTATACAAGTATAAACATCTTGAACATGCTGTTGTAAGAGAGACATTTACATACAGCACAAGTCATTCAAAAGACAGACAGCATGCTAATGTGTCAAAAGCTGTGGCACAGAGAAAAGAAAGAATAAAAATGGCTCTTACCTGGGCTCCCTGCCCCTCCCTGAGCCTCCATGCAGCTCAGCCGAGAGTGTCTTGCTGTTCACCACACCAGCATCGGAGAGTGGAGGAGACAAACAGGGAGGGAAGAAGGGAGAGGCAAGTGGAGAGTGTGTCTGTGTTTGTGCATATGAGAGAGAGTAGGGTGGGGTGACTGGGTTGACACAGCGAGACCTCCGCTCTCCGAACACTCCTCCTTCTTTTTTTTGGTCCTCCGTTGTTCTAGATTTCCCAAACAGGTGATGTTAGTTTCTCCTCTCTCTCGGTCCACCTGCCCTGCTCTTCCACCAGCGCCGTCTGAGTGCTGCACTGCCTCACAGAGCGAGTCCACCACAGAGAGGGACGTCTGGGAACAGCAACTTCCCTGCAAATTTCTATGCCACTTGTTTTAGTAAACGCAGCATTGTGAGGCTTGGCTTGGTATGTACAGAATACACAGAGAGAGATCCAGGGTAAAAAAAGGGAGGGGAGAGAGACAGAGAGAGAGACAAAGACAGAGAGACAGAGAGAGAGAGAGAGAGAGAGAGAGAGAGAGAGAGAGAGAGAGAGAAAGGGAGGGCTGAGCTGGCAGCCTGCCCAGACTGAGTGAGAGAATGGGGTGTCGGGGAGGTCTATGGACCACTGGAGGGAGGAAATTGTGTGTGTGCCTGTGTGAGAATGAGTATCCCTGTGTGTATGTGCATGACTGTGGCATAATAGTTTGTGTATATACTAAAAGGCAAGTTATTATACCTGATGATGGGTCAGTTCATGTCAAATATACAGAGCTCAGGCATGGTGCCTGGATGACAGCAAGGCAGATGATTAAAAGACATTTGTGGCAATCAAACACAGCTTAATGACATGACAAATAACAAACTATATTACTGGTCTGTGATAGGTGGCAGGATGGAAATCTGAATCCCATACCTTCAGAGAAGCCCGAAATTGTGCTTTTTGTCTGCTGAGGGGAATCTGTGGGTAGAGCTCGCCCTCTAGTGGCAGAATCTGACACCCTCGTGTAGTCATGTGATACAGAAACCCACCAGAAACAGGGTCACACCCTCCTTCTACTTCTGTGACTAGAGTAGTTGTAGAGTGGTGGTGTTTGTAAAGTGTCTTTGAGTATCTTGAAAAGCGCTCTGTAAATAAAATGTATTATTAATATTAAGAAGCAGTTAAAAAAAACAAAGAGTACCTCCAAGAAAACACAAGATTAGATTTGGCAGCTCTATAAAGTTGATCACTCGATTTTTCATCTTGCATCATCAGGTCAGATTTTGTAATGGTAAATGGACTTGTACTAGTATAGCACTTTTCTAGTCATACGACAACTCAAAGCACTTTAACACTACATGTCAGTCACCCATTCACATATCGTATTTGTCTAATACTTTGGTTTATGATCAATTACCTGCTAAACGAATGACATTCCCATCAGCCTCAGATATACTTTGTGTTAATTGCTATGTTAGCATGCTAATATGCAGCTGAACTAAGACTGTGAATACAGCAAACATCATACCTTCTTTGCATCAGCATGTTCGCATTGTTCTTACCATGGCTGTACACTCTTAGTCTTGTTGCTATACTTACTTACTTATACTTGTACTTACACTGCAAATGTGCTTGTAATATAAAGCATTACAGAAAAATACATATAAAATATAAGAGTTTATCCATATGTCATATTAGGATTAAAAGCAGGCCTAGGACATGAGTTTTTAGTCAAACGCCAGTTGAAACAGGTGTGTCTTGAGCTGGTTTTTGAATGAGTTCACAGAATCTGTGAAACGTAGGGGTGCGGGCAGAGCATTCCACAACCTGGGTGCTATTGCCTCAAAAGCTCGGTCACCACTTATTAACGTAACCGAGAGTCTTAAAGCGAGTGTGTGGGACAGACAGATAGTTTAACACGTTTGACCTTAGAGCGCTGCCGGGTGAATAAGGGTGAAGTAATTTAGCCACATATGTGGGAGCCTGACCGTGTAGTGCTCTGTAAGTGAGAGTGAGAATAATTTTAAAGTGGATCCTAAATGCTACAGGGAGAGTGTAGAGATCTGAGTACGGGGGTGATGTGAGGCCGTCGATTTGTCCTAGTGAGTAATCTGGCGGCAGCATTTTGGATTACCTGCAAACGGTTAAGAGCAGCTACACTGAGTGACGAGAAAAGTATGTTACAGTAGTCAAAGCGTGAAGAGATAAAGGCGTGTATGATCATCTCTAGCTCAGCTGTTCATACTACAGATCTCAGTTTACTGATATTTCTTAGGTGGAAGAAACATGATCTGGACAGCTGCTTAACATGGGGGTCAAACGACATAGATCGATTGCGCAGGTTGCAATGGGCGGCAGAGGAGAGTGGACCAATACTCTCCTTGATTGTAGGGACAAACTCATCTGGTGCAATAACTAGAACCTCCGTCTTGGTGTCGTTAAGTTGTAAGCAGTTTTCTGCCGTCCAGTCTCTGATGGCATTTACACAGTCCATGGAGCATATGCGAAAGCCTCAATGGGTTTGAATGACAGATGGAGTTGGATATCATCTGCATATAAATGATAGGCAACATAACTTTTTATAATCAGTCCCAAAGGTAACAAATACAGGGAAAATAACAGAGGCCCCAGAACCGAGCCCTGCGGTACACCACAAGACAGTGGAGAGGTGACAGACACAAAATCACCCACAGAGACATTAAAACATCTGTCAGCGAGAGCAGTCACCTGCATCAGAAGACATGAGAATGACATTTGAAACCCTCAGGAGAGCAGTTTCAGTAGAGTGTTGTTTACAAGCCTGATCATCTCACAATTGGTCCTTTTTATACCTGTCATTTTTCACTTGTCTTGGTAGGAAATGTGGAGGTGTTACCTATATAGTCTGCAGTTGTTACTGATAACATTAGCAATAGCTCTGTTCAATTCTCTCACTGCATTCCAAATTGCATACTTTTTTCTTTTTACTTTAAGTACATACTGCCGCTGCCCTTATGAACTGTGAACTGTGCGACATACTACTTCGCCATAACATTGCACCATTAACTTTGACCCTCTTGCTCATATGTCCAAAGTGCAGAAAATTGCAGAGAAAAAATTGCTGGCTTGCATATTGCAAAATTCGACCACATGCACATGCAGTAGGCCATTCTGGTATTTTCGTCAAACTGAATTTTACAGGCATACCTAATCTTTTTCTGGCACACTGAATAGTATGGTAGAAATGGTTTTGGAACACACAGCCAGTGTTTCCCAGTAAGTCATGACAGTGTGACAGTAAGCCAGCATGCACAATACCAGGAATGTGAAACTGAAGCAGTTCAGCCATCATTTATTTTATGATTTAAACCTGCGCTTTTCCTTCTGTGAAATGTCAAAATGTCTTCATGTGAAAAAGGCCTATAGGTTCACAATTAAATCCTCAAATATAAAGGACAGTGTATGAAGAACACTGCTTTTGGTCTGTGATTTTACTAAATGAAAATATGTTAAACCATGTTTTAATTTTGTACTTTCTGTGTGTATGTAAATTATTGGCCCTTATATGGTCACATTGTGTTTTTTATGTTTGTAATTCTGCCCCTGTTAAGCACTTTGTGACATATGTCTGTAAAAAGCGCTTCATAAATAAATCTTGCTTAGCTACTTACTTACTTGTGCCTTTTCAGTCCACAGAGATTTAGCTGGCAAAATCAAATTGAACTTGTCATTTTCGAGTTGTATATTTTTGTTATGCACTTTCTGTATGTCTTTTAATTACTGGATTTTTTGCTATTTTTACTTTTTAATACTGCATACCACAATATGTAAAGGTATATGTGAGTGCGATTGCACATGTACTTATGTTAAATTAATTTTAAATGTTTATCCAGTTATATAGAGTTGTGACAACTATGTATTAAAGTGATATTGTTAGAAAAATCCTCATAGTTCACAAGTATAATTAGTTTTTTTCCTCTCATGTCTGATAGCTCCTTGATAGAAGAGTGCTCACCAGCAGAGGAGGACTCTCCTCATTTTCTCAATACCAGCGGAAAAAATGTCAAAAAGTTCTTCACTAGGATTCTTCAGACCATCTGGAACTATTTCAAAACCGCCACAAACACAACCATCCACTGGAATTTCACTGCAAAGTCCTGACCAGTTTGATTGCGAGAAACACGACCCGAACACCGCAAGGGCTCATATGCTTAGGTTTAATGTGGTAATTTCAGGGAGGTAAAGTACACTGTGAGGATATGGGTTCTTTCATGGGACTTTGGGAATGCAGTATCTAGATTATACACAACAATGTTAATATTGAGAATTAATACCTGCAGACTGCCTGAAAAATGGAGGTTAAAGTGAACGTTACATTTTCAATAACTGGGCTGAATGACACGTGACACCTAAAGGCCTGCAGGTGCTGCTCCAGTTTGACTTACAGTTAGGGTTGCAGTTAAATTTAAGAAATTGTGGTGGTGTAAGGTAGTTTAAAGAAACTGTAGAAAAAAGTCCTGCATTTAAATTGTGTTCCTATATTAAAGCAATCTTTGTAAAGTTAAATTATTAAATTACATCATATACTTATTTTGATAAGTTGACTAACATCTATTTTATTTTTAGCAGCAGGCTACTGCTACTTGTGTGCTGTTGGATATGTTTAAAGCAATACATCGTCTTTTATAAGCATATTTTTGAATATTCTTAAGCTGTGACGAGGAAAGTCCCATTTTGTGTGTCTTTTTATTACGCCTTGTCTTTCTTTTATCGCCTTTTGTAACTTTAAATGGCCTTGTTGTTGAAAGGTGGTAAATAAACTTGCCTTGCCAGCAAAGAAGTAGAAGAGGAATAATTAAACAAAAATGCAAATACTTACTTAATGTGCAGGTATTTCAAAACTGTACTGTAAGGTAGGCTACAATGTTTTGTTAAAGGTGCAAGATATGAGATTCCGAGCATTTTGATTGTCTCTTTACAGCTCTCAACATGGATACGCCTGAGCCAATGGCTGGTAGCTAACGGTGCTAACAGAGCTAAAAGTACAAACTAGGCAAGCATGCTGAAAGAATTAACACATGTTTACTCGAGGGGGCACCAAACGGGGGTGCTATGCCTCCCCAATGAAGCTGTCGGTCGGGAAAGGTGAGCTGCGGCCATGAGCTAGCCAGTGGGGCAAGCTCACATGCACCAACATGCACTAGAACCACGTGCAGTCGCCTGGCTGTGTCAACAAAGCAAGGAGAAGCTCTGATAACAACACACACGGGGGAGTGACCTAATTCTCTGCTCGGGTAGACATTACTCCACTATATACTGTATTTACATAACAAATTGTTTTTTACTGCGATACTTTCTTTCTTCTTTTTTCAGTTTTTTGACTACAAACCAACGTTTAAGGTGCATGCCGTCACCTACTGTACCGGACTGTGTTACATCATGACTTTATGACATACAAACAAAACACAACATAACAAAAAACCCGTCACATAGAAGTTATATTCTTGATATTAAACCTGTTCGATTAAAAAAATTAAATAAAGCCCTTTTAACCTGAACTTGTTTGTCCCCTGTCTCTAACAGTCCTGTGATGCTCCACTCCCTTCCTAAAGCTATCACCCTGCCCTTCAGTCTTTCTCCTTCTATACTGAACTTCATCTTCCTACACTCTATCAGCACATGTTCAACAGTTTCTTTACAGTTGCATAGCTCACAGATAAGATAAGATAGACTTTATTGTCCCGAAGGAAATTTTGTCTTGGAAACATACATACAGTGCACAGTTATCCGACACTGTCTTTTTCATGATGTATAATCTTCTTTATACATCTTCTTTCCTACATTTATTTCCATCACTTCTCACTCTGACTGACGTCTGAATGTTGTTATAATTACTACCTTTGTTGTCATTATTCCAAATGTCCAGCCAAGATGTAATAATTCCATGCTGTATTACTGATTTTGCTTCTGACCTCCCAAAACAAATTTCTAAAATATAATTTTTGTCGAATGCTCCTTTGGCAAGTTTATCTGCAACATAATTTCCCTCTATTCCTACATGAGCCAGTACCCAACAGAAATGTACATTTATTCCGAAATGTTGTAAGTTCAATGATGACATATAAACTTCAGTTAAAAGATCCTCTCGTATTGTTTGACCTGTTTTGTTTTTTATTTATTTATTTGTATTTTATTTATAAATAACAACATTATTCTTGTGTTTAAATGATAACTGTCATGAAGTTTCACAGTCCGGTACAGTAGGTGGCGGCATGCACCTTAAACGTTGGTTTTCAGTCCACCAATAAACTGAAAGAAGAAGAAGAATGAAAAGAAGAAAGTACGGAGAGGTTCGTAGGCCCACATGCTTTTTGCTTCGCGTTTGGCTAAAATTGTTTTTTCTAAGCCGCCGTAGCAAGGAAAAACACTGACAAGCAGCTGCTCCGTTAGTATTATGTTACAGAGCTCACGTGTAAGGCTTTACTTCGTATAGTGCTGTAGCAGAGATTAATTTGGATCGCCAATAACACAATGGAGCCCGTCATAAAAATAAATCCTGGTAGGTTAAATGGTCGTGTTGTTTGTTTGGACGTTAAAAATTAATGGCGATGCATGCTAATGTGTAGCATGTGTAAATGTTTGGCTAGTGCTACTTAGCCTAGCTTAATTTGTAGTTTGTTATAAAGCCTGTTCCGTTGTCGAAGATAGTAATTTAAATCACCAGTAACGCAATGTAATATGCTATCGAAGTCAATCCGATATATTAAGTGTTCGTGGCGTTAGTTTTGTCGCGATGAATGAACGTCAACGCATGCTAATATAGAGCCGTTGTAAACGCGTGGCTAATGTTAGCGCAACTTCACTTTGAGTTAATGCGTGTGCGGTTTTCTCTACAGGAGCGACGAAATGGGACATTCGTCAGAAAGTTTGGGACTACATCGAAGATAATAATCTGGCCAATTTCCCCAGGCCTGTTCACAACCGAATCCCAAATTTCAAGGCAAGTTAAAGCATTTTAATTGAGGAAGGCTTGCAGTGCACGACCAACGCACGGTATTGCTTTACAACTAGTTGTGAACCAAATTAATACACAACTAAACTCATGACTCAAATATGCAGTGGCATTAAAGTCGACATTGTTGCGAAGGCTTTCATGTGCTTATCAATTAAACTTTTATTCATACAGGGTGCTGTACTCACTGTGACTTGTTAACTGTCTTTTGCATGGGGGCCACGAGTACTCGGGACAGTATGTAGTAAGTAATAAAACAGATGTTCAACACACAGAGCTTTATTTTAATAAGACGACCTAGAAAAACACACTTGAAGCCTATTATGTAGAACCAAATATGTTAAGTCACAAAACATGAAGGTATAAATACTATTTCTTAAAAAAAAACAATGTTTTCCTAAACGGGTATGTAAATGAGCCCATGTTACTAAGTGTGTTCATATGGTAAGAAAGTAAATAGCCATGTAAAATATTTGCACATAATGGTTTTTAATGAAAGTAAATGCATGCATGGGTAAAATTATTGATACAATAATTACATCATGGGGTATGAGGTTTTCACAGCAGCTCTTGGCTGACTTTGTAATGAATGTCTGTCTTGTCTGTGCACCTATGCTCTTTTTTATTTATTTTTACTGTGTACTTACTGGCCAGGGTGCAAGTCAAGCATGCAACAGGCTTGTAGACCTACAGGAGTTCAAGTCCAGCCAGACAATCAAAGTAAACCCAGACAGACCTCAGCAGCAGGCACGCTTTGTCACTCTGGAAGTAAGTTAACTCTGGGGGGAAAAAAAAAACAAAAACTTGTACCTTCCTCTCCTCTCAACCAGGGTGCTTTCACAGCCTGTACCAAGGTGTCTGAGCTGCAGGTGTTCACCCAGTCCACTGAGGTGAAGGTGGATCCTGATAAACCTCTGGAGGGTGCCCGGCTTGCAGTGCTGCAGGTAGCACACAAAGAACCAAAGTGCCCCAGTCTATATTACAGACATTTCTCTCTCTGTCCTTTCTGTTTTGTTACATTGTCAATTTAAACTACACGGAGGGGTTCATTTTAGGTTGTTAGAAATTCAGAATAATTATTCAAGAGGCAGAATTACAAATCCTCTGAGACTCCAGAACTTGCTAAATAAGAATAAGTACTACAACTGAATTTATTCCAATCTATTTTTCATCTGCTAATCATATTATGTAACTGTAAATGTATCTGGTGGCTAATCTTTGGGATAATCTTTCACAGGCGCAGAAAACTTTATTGGTCCCAACTCCTCGTCTTCGTACCGGCCTTTTCAACAAGATCACTCCTCCCCTGGATGCCAGCAAAGAACAGCTACGCATATGCTCTTCCTCACAGGTTTCAACTTGAGTTCACATACTCTTATTAACATTCCTACACAGAATTTCATTATGATTGAAGCAGAACCCCCAGAGCTAAAATATTCCTAATTTCTTTTAACTTCTATCAGGGTGTGAGAGACTTCAGTGTGCCTGTGGACCTGGATGCAACGGTGAAGGTAGACCTGGTCGTGGTCGGCTCTGTGGCCGTGTCAGAGAAAGGTGACCAACGATTCACCACTTCACCAAATCAATTACCTACTGGGAGCCTGAAGATAATGCAAATTTCCCTCACATTAATTTATTTATGGATTTGTATAAATATGGTAGATCAACAGTGTTGTGAGCCCAAGACAGTAAAGTATATCAAATCGAACAAAAAACAGATTAAAACACACTCCTCGCACGTAAATAACCAGAAGTTAAAGCCACACGTGTTGCCTGCAATTATTTTTTAGTTTAAGTACTAATGACTGTTAAGAATACAGATGGCAAAATCAACAGCATGTTATTCCATCCTACACTTATGTATTGTACAATGTAATGCACAATACACAAGAACAGCCATGGTGTTCGCAGACACACCTGGCGGAGATCTGCACTCCACTGAGGGCACCTTTCTATTTCTTTGTGTCGCACTTTTCAAAAGCTTCCTTCCTAAAAGAGGCTCTCATCTCTTCTGCAGGTCTGCGGATTGGAAAAGGAGAGGGCTTTGCTGACATGGAGTATGGCATGATGGCCAGCATGGGAGCTGTGAATGAGTCCACTGTGGTGGTTACGATTGTCCATGACTGCCAGGTTAGTTTACGCTTTCTGTTCTCAACATGTTCCCTCGTGGCTCTTTATTCTTTTCTTTATCTTTTCAAGTACAGGTGAGCTTATTTGATTAATGCTTCCTGCACTTTTACTCACTTTATCAAATATAAACACTAAAAATATGTCACTTGTCAAGTGGTGCTTGCTGGTGTGTAAAATGTCCAAATTTATGGCAAATGCGTTACACAAATTTCAAAGGTCTCACATGATGTGTGTACACACATTTCATAAGTTGTAACTTAAAAATATGATTTACACAAACACTTTTCTGTTATAAATTTGTTGATCAAGCGCATGATTACTGACGTGTAGCTTCGGTGCTAATTGGAATGTGTGTGCATTCAGGTGGTGGATATTCCAGAGGACATCATTGAAAGCCATGACCTGACTGTGGACTACATCCTCACACCCACCAGAGTTATTAAGACAAATAACCTGTTCCCCAAACCACTGGGAATCTTCTGGAATAAGGTAAATTCATAGAACGTTTCTTTGCTGTGTCGAGTGCTACTGCAGGTCCACCATACAGGCATATACAGTGGTAGGTCAAACTTCCATTTCTGTTTGGTTTGTTTTAAGATTGGTTTAAAATATTGCATCAAGAAAAAGGATATACATCATCACTACATCCATTTTAATAATAGCTTAATTAAAAGCCACCCATCAGTGAGTCAGTCCTTATGTAATGTTTTATTCTTAAAATGGAACAGACTTATGAGTTGCGTAACTGTAATAAAAAAGTGTGGAGGCAAAAATGGTAATCAGACTGAGGAAATAAACATTTAACATACAGAACACGATGGTTCAACCCAATGTTTAACCAGTTGATGAGAACAAAAAGTGATTCATCTTTACAGAATCAGAACCTCTGTTGTGCTGCATTTTAGGTGCTCTGGTTACACTAATTATTATATATATAATAATTATAATATAAAAACACATTTTCAATGATAAAATCCATCATAATGAACACAATGATGTTGAAAATTAAATATGGATGTCATCCCAATTAAAATAAAATGTCTTATGAACATCAGATGATTTAGTTTGTGTTGTAAGACATCTGAAGGCCAATTGTGCTGTAATTTTAGCTGTGGCCTGTCTCTGTTAAACTGGAAAAGATAAAAGTTTATTGAATTGAGAGGCTCTGTCCTGACTGAGCTCCTAACAGAACATTTAGTCTCTGCTCAGCGACACTGCCCTCTAACGGACATGTAGTGACACCACAGCTCACTTCTTCATTGCACCTCTGTATGCATTTAATGCCTCTGCTCTAATCATCTCCATTATATTAGTCATTTTGTCTCATTTTCTGTTCACTGTTTTAATCAGTAATAATACAAATATTAGGTAGTGTTTTAGTTTTATATACATTGTATACTAAGACACATAGCAACCTTTATCGTGTGCGTGCGTGCGTGCGTGCGTGCGCGCGTGCGTGCGTGCGTGCGTGCGTGCGGGGACCTTAAACTTTACTGATTCATTGACACTGGCCGACTGATGTCGAGTGGTTTTCCACCTGATAATTTGTCTTTAATTAGACATGCTGGGAGCATTATTCTTAACGTGTGGATAGTTTCTGTGTGTCCTCTGTGCTCCTTAAGACATTCATGTAAGTAAACAGGACCTAGTGACCTCACTGGCAGGAAGGCCATGTCTGATCATCAAAGGCTCCTCTGCCCTGCCAGATATGCTCTGCAGGGGAACGACGGGTCAAACGGGCCAGTCTAAAAACAATAGCCCCGTACATCCTTTACAGGACCGGTCCGTATCAAAGGCTGCCAAGACACTTTACAGGGCCAACAAATCAAGACGGCAGTCTTTATTTTTAACTGCTTGGAAATTAAATGTCCTGCTGCTATAAAGATAGGTATTACTATAGCATGGGTTGTGAGCTGGATGGAATAATACCAATTCATTTGTCAGCTTTTGCTTTGTTATTAATCTAATTCATCCGTAGGTATGGTGCATTGGCTCAGAGGGCTACTTGTTTGCTGTGTATGTGTGTGTCACACCCCTCCTCTTTCAGCTTTACTGAGCCTGTCGAGTTTTGTGTCTTCAGCTGACCACTGAAAAGCTGGAGAAGATCCCCATCCTGAAGAAGTTGCGTGCTCTGGAGGAAGAGGCCGGAAAGGATGTAACACTGGGGGTGGCGCCCCCTGAAGCAGAGCCTGGTCTGCAGACCGGTCAACCCAAAAGGCAAACTAGACGGAGGCCAAGGCAGAACATAGAGCAGGATGATATGGGAGAATCCAGACAGGAGAAAATGTCAGAGTCAGAAAGGAAAGCCAGACAGCGCCCAGCTAGAGTGAGGAAAGAAGGCAGAGGAGATAGTGGGGGAGGTTATGAGAGAGGAAAGGGAAATAGAGGAGAGGGAAATAGAGGAGATAACCTGAAGGAAAAGGGCCCAGAGGAGGGAGGAAGTGAAGTCATGTCTCAACGTAAGCTCCCTCTGAGTGTGACCACAGTTTACCTGGGGGGAATCCCTGCTGGGCTGCGTGTTAGTGAGCTGAAAGCTGCCCTCAGAGAGAGGGAGGCCGCCCCACTGAGGCTCACCTGGCAGGGAGCTCAACACAGGGCCTTCCTGGACTACAGCGACCCTGAGGCGGCAGAGCAGGCCCTGGAGGCTCTGCAGGATCTCAGTCTGAATGGTCACAGTCTGCAGGCTGAGCTGGCCAAGAGCCAGCGTGGAGGCAAGCGGTCCGGACAGTCCAATCGGAGACCAAGACCATCAACACCTCCGAAATCTGATACGGCGCCAGCAGATACTGAGAGTGACACCAATGAAAAGACTGAGGAGTAATAGCAATAAGCAATACTCAGCCCAAAAAGTATTAATTGTGGAGCAACGTAAAATTGCCTTAAGAAGAAATAAGTTTGTTTTTTGATATTTTTGGATTTATTACAAGAGGACATCAGTTATTTGAACCATAGACATCTAAATTGAAGGCTAAGACTAATGGGCTTAGACAATTTGAATAGAATATGCAATAGTTGAATCAAAAAGCATTTCACTAAAAAGGTATTTTGTACATGTATCATTTCATAATACATAACAACACACCTAATGTGCCTTGTTTATTCACACACTCCTCGCGGTCGTGTGTCCCGAGAGCCTCCGGTTTTTGAAGGTCGTTTTTTTAGCAGTTCTTAGCGATGGTCGAGTTATTTTCCTTTTTAAGACTGTATATACAGTCTTATTTGTTAAAATAGAGTAGAGTAAATTGTTTTAAAGTGTTCAATACATTTTATTTCCACAACCAGTTCTCAGAGTTGCTTCCTTCAAGGGAGTCTTGTTTTTATACCCGTTTGTCTGCTTGTTGATCTCGAAACCATTTTGATCAACTGATGAACTGGTTCGTTTTTGTTGCGGATAGCGCAACCATGTGGTCATTTAAACAGTTCATACCATCCTGATGATCCCTGAGCCCGGACGCTTACAAGTGAAATGAAAGAATCCCTGCTCTAACATTTCCATATACATTAGGTTTGACTACACAGGAATTGATTCTTTTCAAAATACGTTAAAATCTGTAATATTTAAATGGCAGCATTTTTCTTTTTCCATTTCATTGCAAAATACCAATGTGATCCATTTCACATAAATTGCTTTACTGTGCAGTTGCAACCAGATTTTGAAGATGTGGACGTATTTGCAATTTTGATAACATCGTGTTTAAATGGCCATAATTCTGACTCAGTTGAACATCTTTACAATTCATCCTTTAATACGGCCCAGGGTTTAGGTATTCTCAAAAAAATGCAGATTATAAAGATCTAAACCTATTTTATTTTTAAACATTTCGAGGTGTTTTGTAGCCTTGTTGGAGCTATGCTTTTTGATTTCTACTTCCTTGCAGTTTCTACTTTTTTGGGAATGGACATTGTAAATTCAAACAGTGATAATTGTATCTTTTGTTGACAGAAATGACACATTCATGGCTTCCCGTTTGGTTTGGCCTGTTTGAGTATGAAGCCAGGCTCACCATGTAAGGGTTAAGAGATGCTACGGTGCCGGCTGAACTGTTCTTGTGTTAATGCATCAGTTTGTAACCTATTGTAACATTCTCCATTGAAGCATTTGACTGTATTGGCTCCGGCTAAGTGTCTGTTTTTTTTTTTTTTTTTTTGGTTTTTTTTTTTTAAACAAAACGGTTTTCTCTTACTTTGGTTTCGACAACTGCTTGAGGGGTGATGTGTTTTCACATTGTTTTATTTAGGAAATCGCACCCGATTGTGCTTTTTTTGAGATCAAACTGCCAACCTGGAAAAACCCCAGACTCTGACAGTGTTGTAGTCGTCACAAAGCCTGTTACCCCCTCAAACTATCCTTATAAATTATACAGATTATTCTGATGAGGCAGTAATTAGATGTCAAAAGTTAAACTAAAAGCATGATATCTCAGATCATTGAGCTCACGCAAACAAAACACAAATATTGATTTACATTGGTGATTTTAAGGAAACTTTGGATTGTGCAACCAGTTAGTGTTTTCTTGATGAGTAATGTTCCATTTAGGGTGATTCATTGTTGACTTGTTTTGATAATGGTGCTGGTACAAAGCAAAAAGTAACTTTAGCTGAAATACTAAGAGAATTAAACGCATGCAAGCACTCCAGACTTAAGCCCCCAAACACGTGCATCTCGTGCCCTGTAATGTTAGAATCTAATGTTTCTCTGCACAGACATGGTAACGGATCACTCTCGTGTCAGTCTGCAGTGTTAGACGAGTGTACTGTTTTCCCTGAAGGCACACAGCATGTCTGTCTGCACAGAGCATGCCGCAGGCTTTTTATGGAGCTGTCATCCAGGCCTGGCGAGGGTACAGCTGTGGAGCCCCATCTCACTCCCTCTGCCCCTCCAGAGCGCTGAACCTCGGCAAATGTCATCGGTTTGTTAATGCGCTGTTCAACTCCTGTTGAGCCTGCTCTGCCTATATGCTCGATGGCATTGCTCATTTTACATGGGGTTCAGTCCGTGGTCATGTAAGATTTCAAAGCAACTCGAGTATTAAAGCACAGAATGCATATGGACTGAAGCTCAGATCCATGTACACACAAGCCTCGACAACATTACTTACAAAGTAAAATGAATAGGACATCTTAAATTACCATTCAGTTACTTGACTGAGTGAGCTATGTGGGTGCTCACAAAAAATAGATTGCGGCGGCCATGTTTTTCTACATTTGAAGCACCTGTTACTTTCAACACCACAAACATTCCTGAAACTAAAATAGTTTAAAATTATTAAAAGCTATCAACACTTTCTTATTTGACCAATTGATATGAAAATACCTTGCAGCCAGTAAAACTAACAATTTTAAATTGTTGCTGCTATAAGCAAATAAGGAAGCCAATGAACATTTTCAGCTCATGTTCCTTTGGTAATATAAGTAAATTGGCTTCATTCACTAGTGACATCTTATTCCTGTGCCTCTGCTATACATTTTGAGCTTGATATTTGTGTAATATATAAGTAGTAGAACAAAGCTTTCGCCTCCCTTCATATTTTGTGGAAAGCCCACTGAACCTCTTTAGTTTGGGAAATGTATTTTATTTTAGCCCCTTTCTGTGTAGATTCTCAAAAGTTAGTGCTCCTTGGACTCCCCTGAGTTATTGAGCAGAATCATCCTTTCAGCAAAATGTTTTTGAGGGAAATGACTGTCCTAGAACTAACCAGCCCGAGCGAAGTACTGCAGGTTTTTCAACCGGTAACCAAAAGTGGTTGAGATCTCTGCCTCTGATGTTATTACGCCTTCATTGCTTACATTCTCGTTATAGAGCGCATAAAACGATTGACTTTGTAAACCCTTTATTTAAAATCTATAATCAATTAATCATTGTTTTGTGGAAAATCCGATTACTTCATTCAATGTCAGTTTTCATTAACAGGCACGTCCTGCTCTGGCCAGGTGAAAACACACTGCTAAACTGTCAGACTCTGGCCTCAGTTGTGAACTGCATTATAACAAGACACCACTGCGATATTAACATTTGTACTACTGTACAACATTGTGAACCTTGTATGCCCATTATGCTTTCATTGTTAGGCTTCAAAGATTCGTAAATTAAAGCCACGTGAAATCAGATTCCTTTTTAATTTGGTTGATTCATTGATTGCAGGCCTGTACATTTATGTTGGAGTCCTGTTCAATTGTTATAAATACTGTGATGCTTCAGGAAAAAGCAGAAATTGCTTCACTTTTTAAATACCGCTAATTTTGGTTTATTTGTGTAAAAGTGATGACCGGTGTGAGATTTACAGTTTTGGTGGGATATTTGTTTGCAGTGAAAACATTTGGCATGAATTGGGTGTGTGATGAAATCAAATTTTTTTTTTTTTGGTGGATTTAGGCTTAAACAGCCGAACAGATATATTTTATTTCTTACAAATGATTTGTTGTAATATAGCCTAAAAATTTGCCCTAATTGATGGACCCTTGCTAATTTCCCTAACATTATATACAGTGCTGAAATTAATAGTCTACATATCTCTAACACAAACAACATAACAGTGCTTACAATATATCCTCAATTTTCATTTCAAAACAATAACAAGCATTCTGACAAATATTGCCAATAAAGAATATACCTCCTTGGCCAATTCGCCTAAAATTAAAATATGTAGGCCTACAGAATAAATAAAAAGATGCGCTTAGGCTATTCAAAAAGTGCCTTCATCGTTTTTACACAATATATATAGACATGTTTTATGTGATGTCCATAATTGTTCCTTTAAAATTCAACGTTGAAAGTCCAAAAATGAAAAAAGAGCCTCAATCTAATTTGTCAGAGAAAAGAAAAGGAAAAAAGTCAGACGGAGAAAATGGACGTGTGCATTTTTACAATGACCTACTTTAACAAAAGGAATAAACATTAACAAAAGTGTGAAGTGGTAGTCATCCGCTCTGCAGGACTAAGTACCAAACAGCAGCAGGGTTTCATACACCCAGTCTTTACCCCGCTGGTCGATGTTGATGGCATGAAAAAGTTTTTTAATATTATTATATATTATTATTATGTGGTTGCTTTGTGAGTGGCCTGTCTCCGCGTCTTTGCCGGTGTGTGAAACAGAAAAGTAGTCCGGTCTACTTGAAGCAGTGGGTGCTCTCCATGGGCCGGGGCATGCCTTTATGTCTCTCAGTGGTTATTTACTCGTCTGTTCTCGTTTCAGTTCACCCCGCTGCATGGCTCAAGTCTGTGCCACCGTCCTCTGGTCTGCAGGTGTTCGTGGGTATATCATCACATGACGCAGGGCTTGATGTCCTGGTAGGAGACCTGTTGGTGGTGGTAGTATGCGCTGCTGCTTGGTGCGTGCATAGTTGAGGACGTCATGGCGTTGAACGAAAAGACGAACTCCTTTCGGTCACACATGCTCGGAGACTGGGAATGGTACCGAGGAATACCTACGAAATTTAAAATATGGATTAAAAACAATGACAATATGTAAGGTCACACCGTGGTCTAATTAGACGTTGACAACTTCTAAAAATGTGTTTGAATCGTACATATCACAGACATTTAGAAATAATTGAATAAATATAACATAAATATTTTCTGCAGGATTTAATTGTCAATTATCCATGATATACATTTCATCTAAGAGCAGCCAGCCTTGACTTTGATTTTAGGGATCCATTGATAGTTGAAAGTTTAAAGCGTAAAATATAATATGAATAACAGATTCGTGTTAGAAACAACTTGAGAATCTAACACTAACTTTCTCGAAGATTAAAAAATATATTTTCAAGATAAATTGTGTGATGAATTGGTAGAAGACCTTTATAGAGCATCATTTTGTTTTACTAACTCTACATATGGAGCCTACATTCCTCACAGACTCCACGTCCATTAAGCAAGCGCGATTAAGATTGTCAAAAGTGGAGCAGCTTCAGGGCTAATTGACAGTGGCCCTTTTGCACGCCAGTCCCAGAGGAGTCGGGGCCACGGGGCAAGGCAGGCTGGTCCTGACCGCGCTTGTTTTTCTTGCCCGAAGATTGGCAAGAATCCTAACAGACTCTCCATGCTGTTTTTTTTTTTTGTTATCACTTCCAGAAACTGAAACCGTGCGAGTTTGAAACCCCTATTTTTCTTATTTATTTGGAGTACTGTAATCTTTCTATCGGAGCAGAATGATGCGTACATTTCCGTGAGATAAAATACGTCGTTGCTTTTAGCTGCATCAATTTCCTTAATGGGCTTGAGTTTTTCTTCCGTTTTGTACAATATGAGATAAGCCTGTGTTCCGTAACGCAAACGCAGTGATAATCAAATACGGAAAATCAATGATTTTAGGCCCACGTTTGGCAGAAGACTATACACATATGTGAGCCTGCGTAAAACATATTGTTTATACCCTCTTATGATGAAATGGTTTGGCATTTGTAAATATTGCTGAATCATATAATTCCTATGATTTAAATTTGTCACTCTTTTACGCAGTGTTACGCAACATTTTTCGAGTTTTTTGAAGTAGATAAATGAGAGGTTAATATATCATTGAGCCTACCTTGTAAATCTGTAGTACTGTGCCCATTCTGGTGCAGGTAAGATTGGTCTAGTGAATGTGTGGGCAAGCTTGGCTGCAGTGAGTTTGCCCCTGGATTACAAGGAGACAGCGGCTGCTGTTTTATGTAGGAGGCCCCGTTATTCAGCGAGGCCGAGGGGGCTGGAGCCCACGCCGAGGCTGAGCTCGAGTAGACAGGGTGAGGCTCCATGACTCCTCCGCTGGTGAGCAGAGGGGAGGCAGAATTGTCGTGGTGGGGATAATCACTCCCGTTGGATCCTGTACAACTTCCCATGTAGGAATGTCCACTGTTGGTCGACAAGTGTGACATGGTGTGCCCGGACAGACCCATTCCGTCCATGTTACCTGCCAAGTGCCCATTCATCATCCCAAGCCCACTGTCCAGAGACAAGCTGTTGGGCGGACAGGATAGGCCCCCGCCGCTCCCCTGGAAGTTGTAGGACTCGGGGATGTGGTTGAATCCCAGGCCGTTCATCATGCTGTACATGGGCTTCAGCGCCTGACACTTGCGCCTAAAACCCCTGGGTCTCCTTCTGAAGGAGCCTTCCTCGAACATAAACTCACTAGCCGGGTCGATAGTCCAGTAGTGTCCCTTCCCTGGCCGGCCAAGGCCTTTGGGCAGCTTAATGAAGCACTCATTCAGGGACAAGTTGTGACGCACGGAGTTCTTCCATCCCTGGTATGAGCCCCTGAAAAACGGGAAGCGGCTCTGCAGGAATTGGTATATTTCACTGAGCGTCAGGCGCTTGGTTGGGGAGCTCTGGATAGCCATGACTATTAAAGCAATATATGAATAAGGGGGTTTCTCAGGTCTGCGGATCCCTGCGTTTGTCTTTTTGGTTTTCGTAGTGGAGGAGGCGGTTTCCATCACCGCGGTCTGTCCGTGCGGCTTCTCCGGGGCAGACATCGGGCTGCTCTGGCCAGGAGTCTGCGCTGGGGGCTGCTGGACCTCTGCCGTCATTAGTTCAATTTTGTCTTCGAGATGGCAAACGAAAAGTGTTGCTTTCCACCTTTCCAGCTATAAACACTACAAAGTAAGATACTTATTTGCTGACATAAAGAGCTAAAAAAAAGTAACCAAGCAAACTTAACGCACGAGCCAAAGACTGTCTTCTTAACTCTGACTTCTTCCGTTTGATTCAGTCCTGCAGTAGTCTGAAGCCGTACCGCCTTGTACGAAGCGTCCGAAATGGGATAAGGAGCAGAACAGGAGCCGCTTTCCACTTCAGTTGGTGTGTTGTCGTGCGTCCGAGGAGCTCACTTTTTACTTATCTGTTGCCATCAGCGCATTGGAAGCTGGATGTCTTGGCCATCCTAATGTAGAGACCCGCCCAGTTCCCTCCTACTCCAGTGGTGGGCTGTAAGCATGCACATCTGTGTGCGTTCACTTTTCAGGGAATTTTTTTTTGTCCATTCTTTACATAGAAATAGGGGATCTACTGTATATATAGAATTTAATAAGTTATATTATGTACGCTATTGAATATAATAAATTAGAATTGGTTATACTGTATTATTTAATCACATACTGATAGTACCAACGGGCCTTTGGATGCAGATTGTGATTTCCATGTTTTATAATGTATCTTTATTTTATCTGTATTATTATTTTCAACACTGAATATCGCTACTAGTGATATAAACTGCATATGGGTTCATATACAGTGCAAACTGTATCTCTTAATTTCAGGTCACATGTTAGATGCACCAGCACGGCAAATAGCTTATGTCTCCTTTGGTATTGAATTCATGAAATATTTTATAAAACATTTTTAGTGCATCAAAAGTAGTTACCAGAGAACATGCCCCTCTTATTCAAAACCACCCTCTCGATTTCTGCAAAAGATAGACAGGAACATGGGCAGGATGTTTATACAGCAAAATGTAAACATTTTCCCTGGCCTTCTTAAAATAAAAAATCAAGCAAAAGCCCCTTTAGATCAGCTAATACTCTATCTGATGCGATATGCCCGTCTGTTCGCGGCGTCCTGTGGTGATGTTGGACGTTTTTGCACATGAATATTGTTTGTATAATGCAGTCATAATATTTACGCAGGGATGCAGGAGGAGTGAGGTGGAAGCTCTGCCGAGCTGTGAGCACAGAAACTCGGACGGGGACTTGAGATCGACTCCTGCAGGCAGTTTACCATCGAGCGATCCAGGAATTAAGGTAAAGTGGATTAACACTTCTGAGTCAGAAAATTACCAGCACTGTGGCCGCCTTAATTTAGAGCCACAGTGGATGTTTAGTTGGTTTTATGTGACATTATATCATATAGAATGAGAAAAACGAAGCCTAAATTATACCTCAAGGCTTTTGCTCAAACTAAATTGTAATTCACTCGGAATAAGATGCGCACCAGTTTGTTTATTTGTTGTGTTTCTGAAGTTGAAACGCTTAATTTTAGTTTGTTTTACTGCCTTTTACGCAGCTGAGCGAGAGCTACAGAAAGACGATCAGTCCATAACCTAAAACTGTTGACAGTAGATTGCTTATTGTTCCCTGGAGATCTAGCAACTTGGTGCTTCTCCATGGGCTCAGTTAGTCGAGCTTGTTGCGCT